CAAGCCGCACCTCCATCTCCTACCGACCAACCTCATCCCGCCCCCTTGACCTGTCCGTCCTCCCTGGACTGACCTATCCCCTTCCTAACTCCCTGCCTACACTCACCTTTACTGGCTCCAACCCCGCCTCTTCGACCTGTTTGTTTCCTCTCCACCTATCCTCTCCTCTATCCCTCTTCTATCCGCCTCCCACTCTCTCCCTATTTATTTCACAACCCCCTTCCCCTCCCCCTTTTCTGATGAAGGGTCTAGGCCCGAAGCGTCAGCCTCTCTGCTCCTATGATGCTGCTTGGCCTGCTGTGTTCATCCAGCCCTGCACCTTGTTGTCTCGGATTCTCCAGCATCTGCAGTTCCTACTATCTCTAGTACTTAACTGAAACCTGCTTCTAATTGATGTGATCTAAAAGAGGTCATTATTCATTGACTATAAATTTGTTGATGTTCGAAAGATAAGCCGTCCCTGTTTATTCCCAGAAGCAAATGCCATTTTTCTGTTTTGTCTTTGCTTTTCCAGTTGTTGAATAAAAGTTAACATTTTCAATTGTTTGAAGGCTTTCCAAAATATGATGCTCACACTTTGAACAATCATAAGATGTTATGCTATGCTGGGTATTAGGGAAAAAGACAGAGTTCCTTCAGATAGAGTTGTAACAATGGTATGGCACCAAGGATGAGTAGCTTCTGTAGCTTCATAATCTGCTATTGCAGTTTATAAAGACATTCATTTTCCCATGGTTATAAACACAGAGGTTGGTTATTAAGCGCTGATTAGATCGTGTTCAGTAAAGGTATCTAATACTGTATAATTCTTGGTTTTCTAATAGACGAAGACGACTGTACCAGAGCCATAATCTTAAACAGCTGCTTAAAATGGAAGGAATTAATTCAGACAAGTTGATGCCACGTCACTCTGGACCAGAAAGATATCGTGCCAAGACCGGGAAGAATCCACCACAGTTCACAGCATACCTTCCTTTAGAGGTGATGCACAGTTCGCTCCATAGTTAGATACTTGTGATATTAACAGATGAATGGCTAACACATTCAGAATACAAACCTCTCACCACTAATTTAACAGAACCATGTGTTCATGCATTTTAAAACTATCTGACACTTCTTTTAGTAGTGATCAGATATGATAAATGTTCAAGGAACACTTTTGATGACAGTATTACTAATGTATGTATTTTCTGTCAAAATGTATAAAATGAAAGAAATTCAACTGCTCTTTACTTTTGTGTTCATGTTGAGTAATGTTACTGCTCAAAATAAAACACCTTTGCATCAGTATCAATGTAATTTTCCCAGCTGATTGTGCATAGCTGCAAGGTTGGCTTTCTTCCCATCTGTCCAAACAAGCATGCCGAATCGCCAAACTCAAACAAATACATCTACTTGCAGCATTGTCTGCTATTCAGTTTTCAGTATGGATAATCCTGTGGCTTTCTGTATTAGAAATTTATGCTAATTTGTGAACACTGGTCAAGATGAATTGGATAGAAACCAGCTCAGCTCATTTCACAATAGCTCTAAAACCAATACAGACAGAAGACTTTTTTTTTCCCTAACAGTCTGACCAGGATTTGAGCAAAGATTCTATTGCAATGTGGAAAATGTTTAAAAATGATCAGTTCCGTCTGAAATGCAGTAATACATGAACACGTGAATTAGTTTTAATATGAAATACAACACCTCCTGCTCTAAGTCCCAAGGAATGAAAGAACTCTGTTTACACCCAAATCCCATAGGTCTGGATCAATATCTATCTCAAATTATTACCACCAAACATAAAGTCTTATTGTCAATAGTGTTACATTTGTGAACTTCCAATCTGCTGTACTGTTCCAGAATGTATGAAATTTAGAAAATCATAAGTAACACATCCACTATATCTGAAATTATCTCTTTTACAGATAGTAGCTAGGAGGTAGTTACAGGGAATTAATGGATTTTAATTTCTCAAATTACTTCAATAATTTTTCTCTGTGGATATTGGATTACTTAATTCCCTCAATCTTATTTGCTTCTAGATTACCCTCTGATTCTGGAATGCAACTTCTACTGAGAAGACACACAAAATATTTTTGATCAATTCCTCTGGCATTTCCTCATAATAGTTTCTCCTGTTTCTGCTTCTGAAAGCCCAATCTTTACTTTAACTACTTTCTTCCTTTTTGTACACTTCTAAAAGCTCTTACAATCTGTTTTCATTTTCCTGGATAGTTTACTCTTGGACTCTATTTGTCCCTTTGTATCAACCATTGGAGGCCCTTTCTGGTTTTTCAAACACTCCCAAATCCTCAGTTGAGCTGGTAATATGCACAAAACTATACCATTCAGTGAAATGTTTGAAAAATTCATTTGCGAACTCTAGACTGTCATATTTGGTAAAAATCTCTTCAAATTGGAGGAAGGCTAATTTTGATGGTGTTAGGCAAGAACTTTCAAAAGTTGATTGGGGGCGGACGCTTTCAGGTAAAGGGATGGCTAGAAAATGAGAAAATGAGAAACCTTCAAAAATGAGATGACGAGAGTCCAGAGACAAGATGTTCCTGTTAGGTTGAAGGGAAGGCTGGATGACTAGAGAAATTGAGGTTGTGGTCCAGAGAAAGAAGGAAGCATATGTCAGATATAGACAGCTGAGAATGAATTAATTCTTAGAGTATAAAGGCAGTAGGAGTATACTTAAGAGGGAAATCAGGAGGGCAAAAAGGGAACATGAGATAGCTTTGGCAAACAGGGTTAAGGAGAATCCAAAGGGATTCTACAAATGCATTAAGGACAAAAGAGTAACTAAGAAGAGAATAGGGCCTCTTAAAGATCAGGAAGGCCGCCTATGTGTGGAGCCGCAGAAGATACTAAACGAGTTATTTACTTGTGGAGAAGATATGGAAGATTGAGAACATGGGGAAATGAATAATGACTTCTTGAAAAATGTTTATGTTACGGAAGACGTGCTGGATGGCTTAAAACGCACAAAAGTGGAAAATCCCCGGGACCTGATCAGGTATACTCTAGAACTCTTTGGAAGGCTAGGGAAGTGATTGCTGGACCCCTTGCTGAGATATTTGTATCATTGATAACCACAGGTGAGGTGCTGGGAGACTTGGAGGTTGGCTGACGTGGTGCCACTATTTAAGAAGGAAAAGCCAGAGAGCAATAGACTGGTGAGCCTGACATAGGTGATGGGCAAGTTGTTGGTGGGAATCCTGAGGGACAGGATTTACATGTATTTGGAAAGGCAAAGACTAATTTGGGATAGTCAACATGGCTTTGAGCATGGGAAGTCATGTCTTACTAACTTGAGTTTTTTGAAGAAGTAACAAAGAGGATTGATGAGGGCAGAGTGGTAGACAGAGTGGTAAAGTGATCGACAAGGTTCCTCATGGTAGACTGGATCACATGGAATACAGGGAAAACTAGCTATATGGATACAGCACTGGCTTGAAGGTAGAAGACAGAGGGTGGTGGTGGAGGGTTGCTTTTCAGATTGAAGGCCTGTGACCAGCGGTGTGCCACAAGGATCGGTGCTGGGTCCACTGCTTTTTGTCCAAATCCAAATGATTTGGATGTGAACATAGGAGGTATAGTTAGTAAGTTTGCAGATGACACCAAAATTTGGAGGTGTAGTGGACAGTGAAGAAGGTTACCTCAGAGTACAACAGACTTGATCAGATGGGCCAATGGGCTGAGGAGTGGCAGATGGAGTTTAATTTAGATACATGTGAGGTACTGCATTTTGAAAAGTCAAATCAGGGCAGGACTTATACACTTAATGGTAAGGTCCTGGGTAGTGCTGCTGAACAAAGTGACCTTGAAGTGCAGATTCACAGTTCCTTGAAAGTGGAGTTACAGTTAGATAGGATAGTGAAGAAGGCACTTGGTATGCTTGCTTTTATGGATCAGTGCATTGAGTATTGGAGTTGGGAGGTCATGTTGAGGCTGTACAGGGCATTGGTTAGGCCACTTTTGGAATATTGTGTGTGATTCTGGTCTCCCTGCTACAGGAAGGATGTTGTGAAACTTGAACGGGTTCTGAAAAGATTTACAAGGATATTGCCAAGTTGGAGAGTTTGAGCTAAAGGGAGAGAGTGAATAGACTGGGGTTATTTTCCCTGGAGCATTGGAGGCTGAGGCATGACCTTATATTGGTTTATAAAATCATGAGGGACTTAGATAGGGTGAATAGACAAGGTCTTTACCCTGGGGTGGGGGAGACCAAATCTAGAGGGCAAATGTTTAAGGTGAGAGGGGAAAGATTTAAAAGGGAACTAAGGGGTAGCTTTTTCACGCAGAAGTTGGTGTGTGTATGGAATGAGCTGCAAGATGAATTGGTGGAGGCTGGTATAATTACAACATTTAAAAGGCATCTGGATGGGTATGTGAACAGGAAAGGTTCAGAAGGATATGGGCCAAATACTGGCAAATGGGACTAGCTTTATCTAGGATATCTGGTTGGCATGGACGAGTTGGACCAAAGAGTCTATTTCTGTGTTGTACATCTCTTTGACTCTATGACTCTATAGTGATAACCATCATTGAGTAGAGTAAACTAATCACTTGACCTCAAGCCATCCAGAATAATGGTGAACAAAAACCCTCGAAGATGAGCAGGTTCATCCCATGGTCTCTCCATTGAAGTGAGAAGGCCCTCAAGTGTTTGTTGTGGTCTTTTCTACAGCTGGCACAGCTAGTATAGTTGGAGACCATGTCTTCAATGGCCTTCGATAAACCTGGCCATTAGATGGGCTTTTGAGCCCCTGTCTGGGATTTGGTAATGCCCAGATGTTCCTGGTGTAAACATTGGAGAATTTCCAACCTGAGGACCTGGGAATAACAATTTGGTTATTGTAGATAAGCAACTAGTTCATAACTAAGATGACTACGTCACTCAAAGTACTGTTTTAATATATATTTAGTGGGCACATATGCAGGCAGTCCAGTGGACTGCTGCATTTGTGCACATTCAGCATCAGCCTTCTGACAGTATAATTTTTTCACATTTGTCTGTTTGCTGGGAAGAAAACTTACACTTTTGGTTAAGTGTAAGACCCACAGCCAGTGAATGTAGCATCATCCGTACCCCAAGGCCCTCCACGATGCCAATTTTGTTGTATCCTGTGGCAGGAGTGGCATTCTGTGTTAATGGCTAGTTGGCAGTGGAGACACTGCACAATGCCCTATGCCTTCCAGCTGTGTGGCTGAACCATAGAACCCCTACAGTATGGACAGAGGCTATTCTGGCAATCAAGTCTTGCACCGATGCTCTGAAGAGCATCTCACCCAGACCCAGACATAGGCCCCCCACCCTATCCTCGTAAGCCTGCATTTACCACAGCTAATCCACCTAACCTGCACATTCCTGAACACTACAGGGCAATTTAGCATGGCCAATCCACCTAACTTGCACATCTTTGGACATCTTCGAAGGCTCTCCCATATCCACGGTTAGCTGGCGCCTAATGCAGATTATTACCAAAGAATTAAATTTTTTTCCTGATCTAAACAGCATTGCTTTGAAACCTAAAATAGGAATTGAAAACTTTAATGACCTCCTCTCAGGCAGTGTTTTTCTCATCAACTCTGTCATGTTATAATTCCATTAGCTGTTACTAACTGTATATAGGTGTACTCTGATCTGATCACATCACCTGACTTCAAGTCCAGAAATGATTAATGGGTCTGATAACTGCTGCAGGTGTTTCTCAGGTGGTCTCTGGCTGGCCAATGGCTTTTCACTTTCCTGTCTTTATCAGTATTGATTGGGATTCTTAGTGAATAGTTTGCAAATTGCTGCCACCATATTTTACTACCTTGACCAGCCTCTGCCTGCCTTTGACAGAAGAGGGCTGGATACCATTCTGATGCAAACTAATGAACGTTATTTACACTATTTACACTATTCATAGAGACAAATTTTAGAGGGACTACATTAGAACCTCTTGCCTCAGGTTACAGTTACATATGATTTGACACCACTAATGATACGTTATAGCTATTAGCAAAATTATACCCCTTGTATTACAGGGCAAAGCATTTGCTAAACATCACATAGAAGAATCCCTGAGGATAGCAAAGACTCAGGGCTTCTTACAAATGATGTCCAACTTGTACTGGTTCATCTGTTGGTGAAGGGTGATAGGTGATAGTCAGCAGGAGATTTCCTTGCCTATGTTTCTTCTGATGCCGTGAAACTTCATGGATTGCAGATTCAATGTTATGAGCTCCTAAGACAATTCCCTCCTGACTATGTGCCACTGGAGTTGCCATCTCCAGTGGGATTGTCCTGCTAGTGAAATAGTGATAGGAGTCTAGGACATTGGCAAGCACTAAGGCCTCCTTCAGAGCACTTGGCAGAAATGGCTAAAGCCACTGACGATAATAAGGTAAGTGGGGTTCTCTTAACTTTAATTCTGCTTCAGAAATATCAGTAAGATTTTGATGTCAAAAACCAGCTTTCCATCATTTCCCTTCCAATGTAATTGCTAAGTAATGTTAATGGGCCAGGAAACTAAATTCAGTATACTGGGTAAGATGTTGATCTTGTACTAGCTAGGGAGGGGGAGAGTGGGGGAAGGTTGGTAGTGGGGCAGGGTATGGTTGCGGAAAAATTTACTGTAAAATATGTATTATTATTACTAATCATTTACTTGGTTGAGAATTTTATTCCAAACTGAAAGTGGTTGCATTAGGTCATAGCCTTCGTTCATAAAATACTGTTAGAGTCCAAGGTAAATAAGTACCTAAATAAATTTCAGTGCATCTGTTAAGTTAAGTATACGACTATAATTTTCTGTTGATATGCTATAGGTGTTTGATGATGAAGAATTTGAATGTCGGACACCAGAAGAATGGTTACAACTTGGCTATGAAGAAGGATCTGATGTTAGGAAACCTATCCCAGGAAAAGCACTTCTTCCCAAAGATGACAAGTTAGGACATGGTAAAGTACATGAGAAATATTGTAGTGTATCCAGTGTTGTGATTTTGAATATTATTCTTGTTATTGCTGTAAAGTGTGTGTTTCTCTGATCAGTGACCACCTTCAGAAAGCACAATTATATCTGCATATGTTGTAGATTTAACATAGGATAAAACAACGCATTTGGTTGGCAGCCCATATAGCAGTTTAAACATTCACCTTCTCTACCACTGATGTGTGTGGTATATACTGCTGCCGCTCTGCAAGATGCACAGCAGTGATTCACCAAGGCTCCTTGAACACCACCTTCCAAACTCTCATACCACCTAGAAGGTCAAGGGAAGCAGAAGCATTGAAACTGTACCACTTGCAAGCTTCCCTTGAAGCTTCACACCATCCTGACTTGGAATTATAATTGTCTCTGAGTCAAAAATCTGGAACTCCCTTTGCAGCAACGGTGTGGATATATCTGCACCAGATGGACAGCAGTTCTTTAAGAAGTAGTTCACCACCACCTTCTGATTCTCTGTTACAGATGAGCAACAAATGCTGGTGTTGCCAGCAACATTCATGCCCAATGAAAAATATAACAATAAGATATATTGTTGTATATAAATTGTGTTGAGTGGGTCACACCAGTCCATTTCTAAATCACTGAAAGATATTCTGTCAGGATTTGTCAACAGCAAAATTCATTTTAAATGTTTCAAGATTTGACTGCTGTACCTGTTTTGATTCTGTGGGCAATGATGTAAATCAGATGTTGGTGAATTGGAAGCCATTCTTTTGATTTTTGTTTAAGACCATTAGACCATAAGAAAAAGGAACCGGGGTAGATTGTTGGCTCCTTGAGCCTTCTCCGCCATTCTAGAATCCTGGCTGATCTGACATTCCTCATGTCCACTTTCTTGCCCTTTCCCTGCAACCCCTGATTCCCCTACTTATCAAGAATCTATCTCGGCCTTAAATATACAAAAGGACTCTGCCCCACCCCTCCCCCCAGCCCTTCTCTATATCGTATCAACTTTCATTCTGTGATGCCTATATCAGGTACACATTCAGTAGACTCATTCAAACCATAGTAAATTTAAAGTACAGATCTATTTGTCAGATTGTAGGCAACCCATATTCCAGAGAACATGGGCACAGGACTCAAAACCTGACTAATGTCTTGGTCCGACTGGGACATGAGTTGAACTTGAAATGTGTAATATCAATTAAAGGAACTCACTAAAATTGATGTCCATGGGGATTGGGAGCAAAGTCCTTGGTACCAGAAGTCATATCTAGGAGTGGTCTACTAGATTTGTAGAGCACAGCTAAAAGTATTGCAAGATCCCTTGATCGTCTATATTCAAATAATATACAAACCGCTAAGGTTTTAGAGTAGATTTGTAGCTCGGGTTGTGGGTGTTGAGGTTGGTTGGCTTGCTGAGCTGGTTTGTTGTTTTGCAAACGTTTCGTTACTATGCTGGGTAACATCCTCAGTGCAGCCTCCGATGAAGCGTCAGTGTGTTTTCCCGCCTGGTTTTTAAACTCTGGAGTCCGTTGAGCTGGATTGCCTCAATTCTGGTTTTTCTATGTTGTACACATAGAACTCGACCCCATATACACTCCACTACGAAGAAAAACCGGAAGTGAGGCAATCCAGCTCAACGGACCCCAGAGTTTAAAAACCAGGCAGGAAAACACACTGACGCTTCATCAGAGGCTGCACTGAGGATGTTACCCATCATGGTAACGAAACGTCTGCGAAATAACAAACCAGCTCAGCGAGCCAACCAACCTCAATGTACAAACCTAATATTTGCATCCTGTTCTCATAATTTAATCCTTTTTACCCTAGCACGAGAAATAGGAGTATGACACCTTCAGCCTGCTTCACCATTCAATATGACCATGATTAAGCTTTGCCTCAACTCCACTTTCCTGCCTGATTCCTTTGTCCCTTGATTCCCCAAGAAATCATAAAACTATCTTAGATTTAAATGAACGATGGAGTATCCACAACCTTGTGGGATATAAATCTCAGATTCATGACCTGAGACAACAAATGTCCTCGTCTCAGTTCTAAATAATCAACCATGTCAGGCTAAGGATATGCTTGTATTCTAGACTCCTCAGACATGGGAAATTTGAGAATTTTGTATATTTCTTATTTAGTTTCTTATCATAAAAAACAACCCTTTCATCCCAGGAAGCAATGTATTAAACCTACATTCTACCAGATTGATGGCAAGCATATCCTTATGTAGACGTAGGTACCAAAACTATACACTGTACCGTAAGGGGAAATGATGGTCTAGTGATAGCATCATGAGGCTATTAATCTAGAGACACAGATAATGTTCTGGAGAACTGGGTTTAAGTATCACCATGGCAGATGGTGGAATTTGAATTCAATCAAAATCATATAACTACTGTCGATTGTTGGAAAATCCCACTTGGTTCACAAAACCAGAAACTACAATCCTTACCTGTTCTGGCCTATATGTGACTCCAGCCCTACAGCAATATGGTTGACTCTTAACTGCCCGCTGGGCAATTAACGATCGACTACAAATGCTGGCTTATGCAACGACGTTGACACCCTAAGAATGAATAAAAGTAAAAGTCTCATCAAATCCCTGTATAATTGCACCAAGACATTCTTATTCTTGTAGTTTGCAATAAAGGTCAGTATTCCTTTTGATTTGTTCATTGCTTCCTGTCTTCATGCTAACATTCTGTGCTGCTTACACAAGTGCACTTAAGTCTCCCTAAACAATAACGTTTAAAAGTTTCAAGCTGTTTTTAAAAATTCTGATTTTCTATTCCTGCACAAATGCTCATTCCCATCCCAGAAATGCACTGCTGACCACATTGGATTGGATTCTTCCATTGGTTTCCAGTCTAAAAAATAGGTAATTCAACTATTCAAATAGGTAATTCAAATATTCAAGTAAAGGTCCTCTGTTCGTGAAGTATCCTTCTGTGGAACTGGGTTACCCCAGTAACTGATCTGATCCACTACATCAAAGATTCCCTTAGTAACTCATGGTGCTAACAGGCAACAATGACCCATCATTAGTCTTGTGAGATAATTGGAGAATGGTCAAATAGTTGATTTTCAGGGTCTGAGATGTAGAATAAACTACAAATGCAGACAAGAATAAACTATTCAAGCCCTCTTTAGCTAACCACTAGCTGTGGTATGCCAAGTACTATGTTTTAATAAAATATTTTTCTTACTCTTCAGATGATCCTAAAAGTGACTCACTTGGCTACAGGTGGCATTTTGTTGGTGTTCTGGATTATGACAAGGAAAAGAAGCTCTATCTGGTGCAAAAAGCAAATAGTTATGATTTAATTCGAGATGAAAAAAATCAAACAGTTGTGAATGGTGGCATTACTGAAACTGGTATGTACGTTCTAGGTGTAAAATTTAGATGTCTTGAAATACACAATTTACATGCACAATAAGATGTACTCCAGCTAAAGGCTGATAACAACACTTGAAATGTGCCTGTCTAAAAAACACAAATTCTCTCGAAATAACACATATCATTTAAATAACAATGAAATATCTATCCTGTACTGGGTAAATAAGTAACTGGTGTAACTAGAAATTTGGATCAGAATTCATGTTTAACCTATTCCTGCCCAAATCCTCTTAAATCTGCTCTTTATTCATTCTTGTATGATTGCCTCCTACTGAATGCACGCATGCAAGAAAAATGCGGCAACTGATGGTTCCTTTCACAGCAAAATGTTGTATGATTTTCTATATCATTGCAACTAAAGGTTACAAAAATTATAATTTATTGTATCTTCATTAGAGGTAACAAAGAATTATCACCTGGCTGCAATAATAATCTTTTATCAATTTTCAAGAAGCTATCAAGCCATCTTGCAAGTTCAAATTTCTCATGTCAGTTACACAGAAATGATGCAGCCATTTGGAGTAAAGGACACGTTTCATCCTAGACTAAACTATGTTGAAGCATTCCATGACATAGAGTCATATAGTACAGAAAGAGACCCTTCGGTCCAAATCGTCTGTGCCGATCAGTCATCCCAATCTGATCTAGTCCCGTTTGCCAGCATTTGGCTCATAACCCTCTAAACCCTTCTTATTCATATACCCATCCAGATGCCTTTTAAATATACCAGCCTCCACCACTTCCTCTGACAGCTTGTTCCGTACACACACCACTCTCCGCGTGAAAAGTTGCCCCTCAGGTCCTTTTTAAATCTTTCTCCTCTCACCTTAAACCTTTAGTTTTGGACTCCCCCACCCTCGGAGAAAGATTTTGGCTATTCACCCTATCCATGCCCCTCATGATTTTATAAACCTCTATAAGGTCATCCCGCAGCGTCCGATGCAGTGGGGAGAGAAAAGCCCCAGTCTATTCAGCCTCTCCATATAATTCAAGCCCTCCAGTTCCGGCAACGTTCTTGTAAATCTTTTCTTCTGTCAAACCCTCTTGTTTCACAACATCCTTCCTATAGAAGGGTGATTGGAATTGTTTGCGATATTCTAAAAGTGGCCTAAGCAATGTCCTGTACAGCCACAACATGACATCCCAACTCCTATCCTCAATGTTCTGACCAATGAAGGCGAGCATGCCAAATGCCTTGTTGGTACCGCCCTGTCTATCTGTGACTACACTTTCAAGGAACTAAGCAACTGCACCCTAGGTCTCTTTGTTTGGCAACACTACCCAGAACCCTATCGTTAGGTGTAGGAGTCATGCCCTGGTTTGCCTTACCAAAATGAAACACACAACATTTATCTAAATTAAACTCTATCTGCCACTCCTCAGCCCATTGGCCCATTTGATCGAGGTCCCATTGTACTCAGATAATCTTCTTCACTGTCCACCACACCAACTAATGTGGTGTCATCTGCAAACCTACTAGCCATACCTCTTATATAAATGATTTGGAGGTGAATACATATGACAAAAAGCAGTGGACCCAGCACCGATCATTGTGGCACGCCGCTGGTCACATGCCTCCAGTCTGAAAAGCAACCCTGTACCATCACGCTCTGTCTCCTACCTTCAAGCCAATATTGTATCCAATTGACTAACTCCCTGTGGATTCCATGTAATCCAACCTTACTAAACAGTCTCCCATGTGGAACCTTGTCAAACGCTTTGCTGAAGTCCTTTTTGACAATGTCTACCGCTCTGCCTTCATCAATATTCTTTGTCACCTCTTCAAAACACTCAATCAAGTTAGTGAGACTTGATTTCCCATGCCCAAAGCCATGTTGACTAGGACATGTTGGGGCCAAAGGATTATGAGTACACAATTGAACCTTCCAGTCTGTTCCATTATTCGAACGGATCATGGCTGATCTGTATTGCAACACCTTCTACTTGTCTTGATTCCATATCCCTTAATGAAAGAAGCATTTATATAATACCTTTCACAACAATCCAAAGAGCCATACAGCCAATTAAAAACTTTCGAAGGGTAGTCACTTTGATGTAGGGGAATGTAGTAGCCAATTTGTGAACAGCAACGACCCATAAAATGCTAAGCCATTCAATTGAAAGAGCTCATAAGAGTGCATGACTGAGATGGCCACTCAGCTATTGAAGCACAAGTATGATCAAGCATGCAGAGTGACACAACAACTGATTTGTGCATGTTTTGCCAGTAAAGGGCCTATGAGCCTATGGAATTTTTGGGGCAATAAAGTGGGGTGATGGGGTGATGGTAGCGGAGGTACTCAGTTAGCTTTGTTGCATAGCTGACCGTAAGCAAGGAAGTAACTGTACATAGGATTGTAGTACATGGAGCTGGAGTCAAGGAGAAGCATTGATTATATTACTGGAAGAAGCAATTCGGAATGTCAGAATCAGCACCACAGGACACTGCATACTTAGGCAGAAGGTCTAGTTTTGCACACACACTCGAAATGAAAGATTGCACTTATGACTTCACATCACTTCTTCAGTGTTGTATCAGCCTGGATTTTGTGCTCAAATCTTTGGATTAGGAATCGAAAATATTATATTTTCATTAACAGGTAAGAGGACAGGGAACACAGTCAGGGAACATTCTGTGTACTGTCTGTAATTTGTGAGGATTAAGTAGAGTCTTATGAAAATTCCTTATATATTAATGATTGTGATTGATTACAGGTGAGAGATTGGAGTTGCCCAATCAGTTTTGGATACCACGGGTCCGTTTGATGTTCATTGCAGAGGATCCTGTTATTTTTTCAAAGCGAGTGGCGCAAGCTCACTTCCTACGTCAGAAGATAGAAGCACTGCTGCTGTACAATCTTTATATTGACTGCATGCCAGTTGACAGGCTTAGGTTTCTGGATGAAGAAAGTTTTATAAGAATGAAGAAATGGGCTTTTAGCACTCCTGGATTCCGAGATAAATCTGCGTATGTATATCATTTTAGCAGCCTATATCCATGAAGAACTGCTTTGAGACAATCTAAATTCAGTCCACTTTGGATTTTCAAAATCTGTGTGGGAAAAAAACTTTCATCCCATCTGGGTTTGCATTTGATTCTAGGTCCTAAACGTTGCAGTGTTCAATTGGCGGTGGTGATATGTCTTTAGTTTCCAATTTCCAATTCTTGATTAGTTACTAATGAGAATAATAATAATATTATTAAAATAAAAGTCTCTCTAAAACAGACACTCCAAACCAACTTCACAAAGCAAATCATACACTATGTATTGTCAACTGATTACCCTGACCCTTAATGCCTATCTTTCATGTTACTTTGGTTGGCTTTGTACTACTAGTTAGTGCTACATCTCAGGCTGCAGCATGACTAGTGGAAGGCTGCTGATTGTGACTGGAGATAGATTGAAGATAGCCTTGCAGGATGACATCACGCAGCTCTGGGTCCCTAGCATGCAGAAGAATATTTATAGCCAGTATATAGAAAGCATGGCAAGGAAGGGGCAATTCTGGACCTAATATTCATAACTGAGCCCAGGCAGGGGGAAGGCACATCAGTAAGGAAGCATTTTAGAGATAGTGACCATAAGTTAGTTAGATTTAGGATAGTTATGGAAAGGATAAGGATGGGCCAGGAATAAATATGAGGTTGTAGACTTGCTTGCCAAGCCAGAGTGTTTGGTTGCAGACGTTTCATCACCCTGCAAGTCTACAACCTCATCCACGACCCAAGCTACAAACCTTCTCAAAAACTTCAGGAATAAATATTCCAAATGGGGAAAAGCTAACTTTATTAAGATAAGCTATGATTTGGGCCAAGTAGACTGGAAACAGCTACTTGCAGATCAAATGGAGGCTATTAAGGAAGAACAAGTGAGAACACAGATCAAATATGCTCTTGTAAAGTTAAAGGGTGGGATCAAATTTGAGAATCCTTGATGTCAAAGGACATAAAGGACATAAAAAAATAAAAGAAGCTTTTGTCAGATATCAAGTGCAGAGTCCCTACAGGAGTATAAAAAATGCAGGGGAAAACTTGAAAAGGAAAATAGGAAACCTAAGCCAGTGTATGAGAAAGAATTGGTAGGTACAATAAAGAAAAGCCCAAAGATTTTAAAAAATATATTCAAACAGTTAGGCCCATTAAGGAATGTAGAGGTAATCTGTGGACCAGAATACATGGCCACAGTCCATGATGAAAACTTTGCGTCGGTCTTCACAAAGGAAAAGGTTGCAGGTGTAGACACAGGGTGGAGGACTGTAATTTTAGAAGAAATTAACATGGAGAAAAAAAAATGACAGTAGGTTTAGCAACCTTAGAAGTGGATAAATCCATAGGCCTGGATGAGCTGTACTCCAGCTTTTGATGGAGGCATTGTAGGAGAAATCAGGGCTCTAAGTGGTAATGTTCAGGTTCTCTGTGGCCACAGGTTAGGAGACAGTGAGAGAGTACTGGAGGTGTCCTAAAAGGGAGGAAAGGATAGACCTGGAAATTACAAGCCACTCAACCTAAACCTGGTGGTAGGAAGGTTCTGGGGGAAGGTCATGTTTGACAGATTTGATCAAATTTTCTTTGAGAAGGTAACCAGAAATGTTAGCGAGGGTAATTGATTTCATGTGATTTTCACAGACTTTAGTAAGGCTCTTGATAGGGTCCCTCATGGCAGACTAGTCAAGGAAGTAAGAGACCATGTGATCCAAGGAAAAATGGGATGTTGGATCCAAAATTGGCTGACAGGCAGGCAGGAATGAGTGATGATAAAGGGAGTTTCTCTTATTGGAAATCTGTCACCATTGGGGTCGCCCAGGACTCAATGCTGGTGCCCTTGTTGATTGTGGTGTATATAAATGATTAAGATTCAAATTTAGTTGGTATGATCAAGACGTTTGTGGATGACACAAAAATTAGTAAGTTGGATTATAGGAAGGAACACAGTTATAAACTGCAGGAGGATGTTAATGGACTGGTCAGGTAGTCAGAATACTAGCAAATGAAGTTCAACCTGGAAAAGTCTGAGGTAATGCACTTGGGAAGGGCTAACAAGGCAAGTGATTACATTATAAATGGTAGGACTCTAGAAAGTACTCAAGATCAGTGTGACCTTGATATGCAGAACACAGTGCCTGAAAGAGTGGTTGAGTCAGAAACTCTCAAAACACTGAAGTAGTAATTACATAATCATATGTATTGCCATAGCCTCCCCACAGCTGTGGGCCAAAAGCTGTTAAATAGGATTAGTCCTGTCAGATATTTGTTGAATGGTGTCGATATGATGAACCAAATAGCCTCTTTCTATGCTGTACACAGCTATAAGTCTTAGCTTTAGACTGCACTAACTTGGCAGTAATCTGGGTTGACATGCAGATAGGCAGGCTGGAGTGGTAGTGCTGGAAGGATAAATACCATCAACTTTTTCCTGTATGTCACACCATTAAAACCCTCATTTCTGAAACTTCTGCAGCAGAAGCTATATGCAGCCTTTGTGGAGATGAAAACCGAAAGAACTGCGGATGCTGTAAATCAAAGACATAAATTGAAATTGTTAGAAAAACTGAGCAAGTCTGACAGCACCTGTGGAGAGAAATCAGAGTTAACATTTCGGATCAAGTGACCCTTCCTCAGAACTGATGGTAGCTGGGAAAATGTCAGTTTTTATGTAGAAGATAGAGTGGGGTGGGGGGGTGGGGATGCTGTTAAGGAGTAAATGATAGGTGGGGATAGAGCCCAAAGAGAGAGAAGAGCAGTTAGACGGACAAAGGAGTGGATAACAATCTGGCTAGGAGGATGAATAACTGTTAATGGGGACTGTTAGTGGCTAACAGTGGATGGTGTGTAATAGCAGACTGTGTGATACCAAGGCCTGGTTGTCGGGTTTGGGGTAAGGAAATGGGAGAGTTCAGGTCCTAAAGTTATTGAACTCAGTATTGAATCCGGAAGGCAGTGGAGTTCCCAGAGGGAAAATGAGGTGCAATTTTTCCAGCTTGCACTGAGCTTCGCTGTAGCACTGCAGGAAGCCTGAGACAGAGATGTTGGCCAGGGAACTGGGTGGTGTTTTGAAGTAGCAGGCAGCTGGAAGCTCAGGGTCTTTTTTTGCAAACAGAATGCAAGTCTTCTCATTAAGCTGTCACCCAGTCCATGCTTCGTTTCCCCAATGTAGAGGACACCACATTGTAAGCAGCGAATGCAGTAGACTAGATTGTGTGAAGTGCAGGTAAAGCACTGCTTCACCTGAAAGGTATGTTTGGGCCCTGGATACTGAGGAGGGAGGAAGTAAATGGACAGGTGTTACACCTTCTGCGGTTCCAGCAGAAGGTGCCATGAAACTGTGAGGGTGTGTTGGGAGTGAAAGAAGAGTGGACTAGGGTGTCCCAGAGGGAATGGTCATTGCAGAAGGCTAACAAGGGAGGGGAGGAGAATGTGTCTGATGGTGGCATCTCGTTGGAGGTGGCGGAAATGGCAGCTAATGATCCTCTGGATGTGGATGTTGGTTGGATGGTAGGTAAGGACAAAGGGGACCCAATCACTGTACCAAGAAGGAAGAGAGGGGTGGGGGCTGAAATGTGGGAGATGGATCGTACCCGGCAGAGGACCCTGTCAACAACGGTGCTGAGGAATCTTTGGTTGAGGAAGAAGTTGGACATTTCAGAGGCTCTCTTATTGAAGTTGGCATCATCGAAACAAATGCGACAGAGATGGAGGAACTGGGAGAATGGAATAGAGTCTTTACAGGAAGCAGAATGCGAGGATGTATTGTCCAGGCAACTGTGGGAGTCAGTGGGTTTATAGTGGATATTAGTGGCCAGACTATCCCTAGAAATGGAAACAGATGTCTCCTTCTCAACATTCACAAACAGGACTGTCTGGGCAGACCCATTGTTTCTGCCTGTTCCTGCCCTGCAGAACTCAACTCTTCTGACCTCGACTCAGTCTTTTCTTCCCTGGACCAGTCCCTGCCCACTTAGATCCACAATTCCTCAGATGCTTTGTGCCAGTTCCAGAAGTTCCAGTTTGCAGACTCCAGCCACCTCCTCTTTACCATGGATGTGCAATGCCTTTACACATCCATCCCCCACCAGGATGGTCTCAGGGCTCTCTGCTTCTTCCTGGAGCAAAGATCTGAACTGTCTCCATCCACCACCAGCATAGTTCTGAGGAAAGGTTATTCGACCCAAAATGTTAACTCTGATTTCTCTCCATAGGTGCTGCCAGACCTGCTGAGCTTTTCCAGAAATTTCTATTTTTGTCTTTGTGGAGATAAAGTTCTGTCTTCACATTGAAGGTGTTTTTCATTATCTTGTGTTGCACAATCACTGTGCAAAGTGAGAGATTCAGAACAGATCAAACAGCTCAACTGGGCACCCATGAGGCACTGTGAGCCATCAATAGCACCAGAATTCTATTCCAACATAATCTGTAAGCTCATGGCCCAGCATTTCTCTTACTTTTTATTACCTTTAACCAGTGGACTAACACTGGTTTAATGAGAATGGTATACTCTTAGCTCAATTTTCCGACAATATCAGGTTAGGAATTTCTCTCAGAAGATACCTTTCAAACTCAGGAAGATTCCAAAAATGCTTAAATAGGTGTGAAGGATTGATGAATCTTTGTCCAAAGGAAAGGAGCCAGGTGAGATTATTATCATACTCTCAAACTTTTGAGCAAATTAAAACCAGGTTATAACTACCTAGGTATTATTAGCATCCAGTTTACTCTTCAATAATATCCTCAGTAATGTACAGAATCAGGTTCTCAAATTAGCAATATTGAAGAATATAAAAGAACATAATTTCTAAAAATATCAAAGTTTGTTAAAGAATCAAATATGTAATTCAGAATTGGATGGCAACAGTCAAACACACATTATATACGTTGTAGGAAAATGAAACATGATACAAGCTCGTCTCTAATAGAGAATCAAATCTCAATTGTTAACAGTTACAGTAAAAATGTTAAGTAGGGCATCAGTGGGATATTAAAGTGACATTACTATATTTCACGACCGAATGAGAGTTACCTCAGCAAGTTACCCAAATCTAACTATTGAATGTATGTTGTCATACTTATGGTGTGATTTGGATGGCATAATTAATTTCTTATATACAGGGGTGATCTCTTAATTCTAATTAGGTTTCTCTTATTTTATATTCCATATGTTGTTTTGATCACTGTTAATTTTTACTAAGGAAAGCCCTTTCTTATTCTGACAAGCTTTATCTAATCGGTTAAATTCCATGTAAGGCCTGGTAGTTATTGATTTAGGGAAGCCTTACTTGTTAGAACTCACAGTGGTGATTCTCCATAAGGCAAGAATCTGTGTTCTAAGACTATAAATAGGTTTAAGTTGTAAAAACAGATCCTAACAAGTGTAAGAGATAACAAGGTGTAGAGCTGGATGAACACAGCAGGCCAAGCAGCATCAGAGGAGCAGGAAGGCTGACGTTTTGGGCCTCGACCCAAGTGTAGTCTGCTTAACAATTTCAGCAGTGCTATCTTCCTAACATTAGAAAATTGTGCTTATATGCTGTTTTTGGAGTGTATATGTTTTCCTCCTTATTCCACCCATTCACTGGATTTCTCCTGATTTTTTAATTGGATTCATTATTGACAACATTATGACTTCTAGTTTTGCATTCTATAACTGGAAGCCTATTCTCTACTTGTACTCTATCAAAACAATTCCTAATTTTCAAGAAACTATATAGTCAGCTCTCCCCTTTTCTGTAAAAAGAACCTCACCCTTTTCAGACTGTCCCAATAGTTATTTATCCAGAATAACTAATCAATTATTTTTCAGCATCTGATATAATTTCTGAAAGACAAAACATTATTCAATGATCCCTCAATATTACAATGGAGTTACAAATGAGCTTATGTACTAACATACAGAGTAGGACTTGAATTGTCTCAGAGCTAAGAGTGCTATAGAGTGAACTAAATTAATGCTTGCATAATAATCACTATGTATGATTGAGAAGAAATGATGATATGAAGTGGCACACAAATTATTTTGCTTGTTTCATTTCAGTTGGAGAGGCTTTCCTTTGATTCCCCAAGTGGAGGTCATACTTCATTGTATTTATCTATTCTCATTATGAAGGGATCATTGGATGACCATAATTTACTGCCCATTCCTGCTTGGTCTACTTGATGATGCTGGGCTGCTGGCAGTGAGTTTCATAGGTCACTTCAATGTATAATTTAAAATCAATCATGTTGGTGTGGAACTTTTCCCCCAATTTGTTGCCCTATAATACATTAGTGAGCCAGTAAACATTTTATAGTAATCTGACTGCTTTATTGTTACTTTGACCATTAGTAACTTCTTTAATCAAATTTTTTTGAGAAAATTAATTTAAATTCTCAAAATTCCATAGCGGGATGTGAACTCACAGTCTCTGGATTGTTAGCTCAGACTTTTGAATTATTGTCCAGCTACATTGATATAGTCACTAGGCAACATAGGGCAAAATTGTAGTAAATATAGAGTTAAAATGGGAAATAAAAATTCAGTTCTGCGGAAAGGTCACCAGACCTGAAACGTTAACTCTGATTTCTCCTTCACAGATGCTGCCAGTCCTGCTGGGCTTTTCCAGCAACTTTGTTTTTATTCCTGATTTATAGCATCCGCAGTTCTTTCGGTTTTTAAATAAAAATTCCTGTTTGTTATATATTTTGATTTCCTATCTTTTATAGGTTACCAAGCTATTTTAAAAAGATAGAACAGGAGGTTCGTCTGGAGTATAATCGCACCATGAACAAAATTACTTTTGATCACATGGTGATGTCTGACCCCAAAGTATTTTCTTATGTTACTCTTCCAGATAAAAAGGAAGAAAAGGTACCAAGCAAAGGTAAGCTGGATATCTTCATGGCTTGCCACATTACAAAGCTTAAATTTATTGCAGTTTTTAATTCATCGTCGTATACCGAACAGAAAGTGGCCCATTGAATTCATGGTGGATGCAGAGCAATTCAGTGAGCCCCATACCAACTCAATCAAATGTCTTCTAAGTTTATTCTGCTTAAGTGCCCATCCAATTACTTTTGAAATCACTGTGTCCACTCCTACATCCACTTAGCCAATAGGTTCCAGGTCATTACTGTTCACTGGGTAAAAAAGTTGTTCCTGACATTCCTCCTGTATCTCTTATTCAAATTTTAATTCTGTCTCCCCTAATCCTTGTGCCGTCAGCTTTTTGGGAGAGTTTTCCTTTGTCTACCTTATCTAAGCTTGTGAGAATTTTGCACATCAGTATAAAAAATTTCCTTTGCTCCAAAGCAAACAGGTCTTTAGACTTGTTGGTGGTCAATTATTGCCCCTGCTACTTTATACTCACAGCTGGAGGGACACATACCACCTTGTGACCAATACAGGCATCTTCTCAACTTCATATCCTCCTTTGACCCCTGTCACCTCAACCTTATCACATTCAGCACCCCACTCCCCTCAGTAAGGCCTTTCAATCTAACCCTGTTGTTCAGACACCTCATCTTCAAAAATCCTTGCTGTCCCAGCAGTAGTCACTACTTGAACCTGAAACTGCTAGGTCTACAAAGCTGCCAGTTGACTGATTGACGAACAACTCTAAAAGTGGGGCCTTGTCTAATTGTAACGAGGTCAGCCTGATGGATCTCATAGAATGAATTCCCTAATTGGAGCTGTTAATCTGGTCCAATCAGGGAGTCCTGGCTGACAGATATAAACAGGAGCATCGGAGGTTCTATTCACTCTGAGCATTAGCTCTGAGGGTGCTGAATCAGTGTGAAGACCTCTCCACGTATAAATAAAGAGTGACTTTCTGACAGGATAGCAGCATCTGTGAAGTTACGTCAGACCTCTTTCTGAGATAGGGCAGACATCTTGCTTTAAGAGAATGAACCTGGCTCACATTAACACAGGCAGCCTGCAGTATTATGGGTGGGTTTCTGGCTTGGAATTTTTTCGCCAGGAGATGTAGACCATTGCCCCCAGTAAAATTGAGTTGCATGTAACTTCAGAAAAACCTCCCTGGAACAGTTCTTACAATGTTCCTCTGTACCCTGTCAAGGACTCTGACATTTTTACTAAAGTGTGGTGATCAGAACTGAATGTAATACTCTAGTTGTGACCTAACCAGAGCTTTATAAAAATTCAGCGTGACATTATTGCCAGGATTCAAAATAATTTTTGAGGGCTGTACTTAAAATTTTCTCAAGGGGATATTTTTGGATTTTTTGGAGGCTACTTTTTGGTTTTCAAAGCCTGTTTTTGATTTTCTCACAGACTCCTTTATTAGGCGATGCAGTCAAGTAGTATCATTACGTTCTGTGTATGTGTTAACGTATAAAGGTTTCCTAATTGGGATATATCTAACAAAGACTGTATGTGCATTATGGAGTCTGCTAAAACCCTCATTAAATCCTTTGCTACTTGTATAATTGACTATTCCAATGCACAGCTGGCAGACCTCCCTTATTCTACCTCCTTATTCTTGAGGTTTCCAAAACATTGCTTTGTATTCCTTAACGTTCAACAAGTTGGATTCCCCTATCATCCCAATGCTAACAGACTTCTGTTGACTATCAATCAAGCAACATCTTGATTTTAAAATTTATCCTTCAAGTTCCTTCTGGGAACTGACTACTTACCATTCAAATAGTTATAAGTTTACAGTCAGTCAATGAGCAATCACTGCTCCCAGTTTGCATCAACTAGAACTGGTGTCAATTAAGTCCTAACAGGCTTGATGTGCCTGTACCAAAGTGTTCTATCATACAGAAGGCGATGTTCCTTCTGCTTAAAGTCCTCATCTTCATCCTTGGGAGACTGTTGCTGTTCCATTTCTTCAGCATCCATCACTTCCTCTTTTCACCTCCTCCAGTTGTGTGGAGGATAGCATGCCAGGATTATGTGGTACACTGTCTGGAGTGTATTGCAAGGACCCCTCAAACTGATTCTGGCTTTGGAATTTCATGTTCAGCATACCTAATATCTTCTCCACCATGGCCCTGGTTAAAGAACGGGGCTACACTGCTTCTACTCAATCTCAGTTAGGAGTTGCAGAATGGAGTTAGCAGCCATGATTACAGAAGGCAGCATCAAAAACAAAAGTTGCTGGAAAAGCTCAGCAGGTCTGGCAGCATCTGTGAAGAAAAAAATCAGAGTTAACGTTTCGGATCTGGCGACCTTTCCTCAGAAATGAAGGGTCACTGGACCCGAAATGTTAACTCTGATTTTTTTCTTTGCAGATGCTGCCAGACCTGCTGAGCTTTTCCAGCAACTTCTGTTTTTGTTCCTGATTTACAGCATCCGCAATTCTTTCGGTTTGTACAGAGGGCAGCACTTGGCTCTAAGTAATTATCATTGTAAGGTATCCGACCCTTGAAACAAAGCAAACGTATGAGAGTTCTCCGGGATAAAGGCATCATGGAAACTTCTAGAATACTTGGCATGGATGTAGTAGCAATGATCACAGATGTCCAGCGTGTTATGATGTGGTGCATTCAATTTAACAGGTGTGCAGTTGAGAGTGCCCTGCACCTGGAAGAGTCCAACTATGTTGCCAAAGCTTACTGCCTGGGCTGCAGCACTGACCTCGTCACTGGGAAATGAGATGAAGCAGTGTGAACCGCCACAAATTGCATCAGTAACAACCTTAGTACATTTGTGGGTGGATGATTTGATAGAACCCATATAGAACCCCAGTGGCTGCATGGAAGCAAGCAGTTGCATAAACATGTAGTGCAGCTGTCACATTGATAGCCACTGGGATAAGATGGCTGCCCACACTGTCATGTTGCAGGTACCACTCCATCAGTTGTTATATTTCTGTTACATTATCCCCTAACATCCTCATGGTGTAGCAACACTGTGCCTTACTCATTTAGAGGAATGACGTTGGGGAGGATCTACTCTGGGCCTCCTGTACATCCAGAGGAGATCTTCAGCTGCAACTTCTTCACATGGAGACTCTTGCAGCTGCTGGAGGTTGCTGCTGGTTTGTACTTCCTATTCCTACTCAATTTCACTGCAGCTTTGTTACATTGCAGCAACAGTGATGATGACTCCTGCTGTGCTAGATCTATTGGCTACACTTCCAACGAACCTGTATAGGGAATAAAGGAAATAGCACGGGTCCTCAGTAATGACAGCAGCCTACATAGAAATAATATTTTATCATAGTCCCCCATTCAGTGGGACTTGGAGGATTCTGACAAGGAAGGCCTCAAAATGAATCTGCATAAACCTTTGACAAAAGGACTTAATTTCAATGAATGCAGCACAAGCCATGCCATGCATATATAGTAGATAATTGTGATTGCTGTTGATTATTGATACCTTATTTTCCCACCCCCACATTACCCAAGAAAGCCATCATGCCAATAATTACTGTTCAAGATGAGAGGAAATCAATTCCATGTCCCTGTATAGCCTATGAGACCTTAGATTATCTTTATGCATTGCGGCTCGCAGGTGCGACTTTTAAAGTAACTTGTACTACTTGTGTTTCACAGATGACTATCTTCAGTCTGCAGTGACCAATGATATGGTCAAGATTGTTTGTGACCAGGATTGTGGGGGTGGGGTTGGCAGGGTGCTGCTGTGATGTTGGTGGTGGTGGTGGGGGCTTGCTCTGTTTGGTCAGGGCCTGGGAGTATAAGTGGTTTGTGGGAGATGTAGTTGAGGGTGTGTGAGTGTGTTAAGCAAGTATAAGGTCAGTTTAATAGTTACTTCATTACTCAGGATTTAGACTATGTATTTAATAGTTTAGCTTTTCCTGAGTAACTATTTTACTTAATTTTATTAGAATATTCAAATGCAAATTTAAATAGAGACTTTCAGAGCATCTCAGGTATAGTGGAATTGCCAGTGGAAAATTGTCGCTGCCATTCCTTATGGCTGTTAGACCGTGGGTCAAGAAGGCCTCACCACCTTTTCAAACGCAAATAGGGATGGGCAACAAATACTGGCTTAGTCAGTGATGCTCACATTTGTTGATCTGTTCACTTATGTAGTCTATTCTGAGTTATTTAATTGTAATAATAACAACATTTATGCATTGACCCTTTTGTTTTGAAAATATAATCAATGTTATTCTGTCTCCCTAGGACGTGTACAACTCCCAGATTATCCATTTGCTCAAAACAGAAAGGCATTTTCCTTTAACACCCTGTTGACCAAACCTGAAGTGATCGTAGCCCTGTGCAAAGTACGTGCTGAATGCAACAAAGTGGCTGCCATGTCCCTGTTCTTTGTGACCCTGATAAAAGGTGTTCGACTGGAGGAATTTGAACAGATGCAGTCCCAGGCTCATGCACAGGTATTGGTGTACTCAGTGCCTTTTTCCTTCAAGCATTATTTTTCTTAGAGCATATCAAAATTCAGAAGAAAATGGACATTTTTGTGGGAGGTCATCAGGAAAATTTTTCAAAGAATAAGTCAGGTTCATTGGCTAGAAACACAGAAGGCAGAGCAATCATTAGTTTTGGAATTCTGTTGGGCAGCAATATTTGTTGGGTCCTATTTCAAACTGAGAAAGCAGTACTGCACGTTTTGCTGTCTGCTGATTATTTTTGGCTGCTATAAAATCCTTACAGATCTTTAGACCAATGATGACCTAGGGCTTTTAACAGCCTTCTGTTTTATGGTCAGTTGTATTTTTTCACTAAAATATTTTAACTTCACAGTATTGTCACCTTTTGTGATTTTTAGTTTCAGCACTGAATCACTAAATCATGTTGCAATGGTCAGCAGCTTCATTTCCACTGGAGTGTAAACTGTAAGAAATACAACTGATATAACATTGGAAAAAGTTTTTGTTTAAAATTAATAAGGCAAAGAGGACAAAATTAAAACTAAATATTCTACTGTAAATACTGTGTTTTCCTCATTTTTTATGTACTGAAATTAGACAAATCTATTTTAAAACTGTTTTAAAGATGTATTTCATATTTTGAAAAGCAAGCAACCTGACACTTATGGCAAACATTTTGTAAACAAAAATAACAAGGTGTAGAGCTGGATGAACACAGCAGGCCAAGCAGCATCAGAGGAGCAGGAAAGCTGACGTTTCAGGTCTGGACCCTTCTTCAGAAATGGGGGAGGGGAAGGGGATTCAGAAATAAATAGAGAGAGAGGAGGGGGCAGATGGAAGATGGATAAGGGAGCAGATAGGCGGAGAGGAGACAGACAGGTCAAAGAGGCGGGGATGGAGCCAGTAAAGGTGAGTGTAGGTGGGGAGTTAGCGGAGGAATAGGTCAGTCCAGGGAGGACGGACAGGTCAAGGAGGCGGGATGAGGCTGGTAGGTAGGAGGTGGGGGTGGGGCTTGAGGTGAGAGGAGGGGATAGGTGGGAAGAAGGACGGACAGGTTAGGGAGGCGGGGACGAGCTGGGCTGGTTTTGGGATGCGGTCGGGGGCGGGGAGATTTTGAAGCTTGTGAGGTCCACATTGATACCATTGGGCTGCAGGTTTCCCAAACACATTATGAGGTGCTGTTCCTGCAACCTTCGGGTGCCATCGTTATGGCACTGGAGGAGGCCCAACGTGGACATGTCATCCAAGGAGTGAGATGGGGAGTTGAAATGGTTCGCGACGGGGAGGTGCAGTCGTTTGTCGCGAACCGAGCGTAGGTGTTCCACAAAGCGGTCTCCAAGCCTCCGCTTGGTTTCCCCGATGTAGAGGAGGCCACATTGGGAACAGCGGATACAGTATACCACATTACCAGATGTGCAGGTGAACGTCTGCTTGATGTGGAAGGTCTTCTTGGGACCTGGGATGGGGGTGAGGGAGGAGGTGTGGGGGCAGGTGTAGCACTTCCTGCGGTTGCAGGGAAAAGTGCCGGGGGTGGTGGGGCTGGTGGGGAGTGTGGAGTGGACAAGGGAGTCCAGAGAGGTCCCTCCAGAAGGCAGATAAGGGTGGGGAGGGAAAATTGTCTTTGGTAGTGGGGTCAGATTGCAGATGGCGGAAGTGCCAGAGGATGATGCATTGGATCTGGTGGTTGGTAGGGTGGTACGTGAGGACGAGGGGGATTCTGTTTTGGTTGTTGTTGCGGGGAGGGGGTGCGAGGGACACGGTCAAGGGCGTTTTCGACCACTGTGGAGGGGAAGTTGCGGTCCTTGAAAAACGAGGACATCTGTGATGCCCGGGAGTGGAATGCCTCATCTCGGGAGCAGATGCGGTGGAGGTGAAGGAATTGGGAATAGGGGATGGCATTTTTGCAGGAAGGTGGGTGAGAGGAGGTGTATTCTAGGTAGCTGTGGGAGTTGGTAGGCTTGAAATGGATATCGGTTTCTAGGTAGTTGCCAGAAATGGAAACAGAGAGGTCCTGGAAGGAGAGAGAGGTATTGGAGATGGTCCAGGTGAACTTAAGGTTGGGTTGGAAGGTGTTAGTGAAGTGGATGAACTGTTCAAGCTCCTCGTGGGAGCACGAGGCGGTGCCCATACAGTCATCGATGTAACGGAAGAAGAGGTGGGGGCTAGGGCCAGTGTGGCTTCGGAAGAGGGATTGTTCCACGTATCCTACAATGAGGCAGGCATAGCTTGGGCCTATGTGGGTACCCATGGCCACCCCGTTTGTCTGTAGGAAGTGGGATGAATTGAAGGAGAAGTTGTTAATGGTGAGGACGAGTTCAGCTAAGCGGATGAGGGTGTCAGTGGAGGGGGATTGGTCGGGCCTGCGGGACAGGAAGAAGCGGAGGGCCTTTAGGCCACCTGTATGGGGAATGCAAGTGTATAGGGACTGGACGTCCATGGTAAAGATGAGGTGTTGGGGACCTGGGAATTGGAAGTTTTGGAGGAGGTGGAGGGCGTGGGTGGTGTCACGGACATATGTAGGGAGTTCCTGGACCAAGGGGGAGAAAATGGAGTCGAGATAGGTGGAGATAAGTTTGGTGGAGCAGGAGCAGGCGGAGACAATGGGTCGACCAGAGCAGTCAGGTTTGTGGATTTTGGGAAGGAGATAGAAACGGGCAGTGCGGAGTTGGGGAACGATGAGGTTGGAGGCTGTGGATGGGAGGTCACCTGAAGTGATGAAGTTGTGGATGGTTTGGGAGATGATGTTTTGGTGGGACCTCTGATTTTGTAAACAAATGTTTGAACAAGCAGTAAATGAAGTTTGGATTGCAGACAAATTGAAGCCGAAGAGGTTCTGTACACAGATGCAGATGGGTGCCAACAAAAGGTTGATTGGTCCATGGGCTAGTGACCAGTTATTGATAACAAGAGCCTTTTGCTTGCCAACAACAACGTGATTGGTTCTCAGGTAACTAAACAGCTTCGGGCTAGAAACAAAATAGAGAGAGCGTTTTGATCTCCACCGCACCAGAAGCTATCTCTCTGTTCTGTGCAGCCAAAACCCATTTCAAACCTGAAGAAAACCAGTTCATCTTCACTCAGCAGTTGTTGGAACCTGTGATATTTAACTGATAAGACAGAGACCTTTTATAAGTAAACCAGCCACCTTGAGTTTCTTGCAAACCAATGGAAGATTCCGAAAAAAACTTGATGAAAAAGCAACATTCTGACCAGCTTAAGGATCGTCTCAGCAACTACTGAACTGTCTTTAAGCTTACATTCACCAATAACCTACTTGTCCCTATTTTTTGTGTTTTTTTTAAAATTCATTTTGTGGGATGTGGGCGTCACTGGCTGGCCAGCATTTCTTGCCCATCCCTAGTTGCCCTTGAGAAGGTGGTGGTGAGCTGCCTTCTTGAACCGCTGCAGGCCACCTGCTGTGGGTTGACCCACAATTCCATTAGAGAGAGAATTCCAGGATTTGGATCTAACGACAGTGAAGGAATGGCAATATATTTCCAAGTCAGGATGGTGGATGGCTTGGAGGGGAACTTGAAGGTGGTGGTGTTCCCATATATCTGCTGCCCATGTCCTTCTAGATGGAAGTAATCATGGGTTTGGAAGGTGCTGTCTGAGGATCTTTGATGAATTTCTCCAGTGCATCTTGTAGATAGTACACACTGCTGCGACTAAGCGTCAGACTTCTTTAGTGTCGTGGGGGCTGCACTCATCCAGTGGGGAATATTCCATCACACTTCTGATTTGTGCTGCAGTATTCCTAGCCCCTGACCTGCTGTTGCAGCCACTGTATTTATGTGATGCGTTCAGCTGAGTTCTGATCAATGATAACTCCCAGGATGTTGATAGTGGGGGATTCAGTGATGGTAACACCATTGAATGTTAAGGGGCGGTAGTTAGATTGTCTCTCATTGGTGATGGTCATAGACTGGCATTTGTGTGGTGTGAATGTTTCTTGCCACTTGTCAGCCTAAGCCTGAATATTGTCCTGATCTTGTTGCATTTGGACGTGGACTGCTTCAGTATCTGAGGAGTCGCAAATGGCGCTGAACATTGTGCAATCATCAGTGAACATTCCTACTTCTTACCTTATGATGAAGGGAAGGTCATTGATGAAGCAGCTGAAGATGGTTGGGCCTAGGACACTACCCTGAGGAACTCCTGCACAAATGTCCTGGAGCTGAGATAACTGACTTCCAACAACCATGACCATCTTCGTATGTGTCAGGTAAGACTGTAGCCACTGGAGGCTTTTCCCCCGATACCTATTGATTCCAGCTTTACTAGGGATCCTTGATGCCACACTCGGTCAAATGCAGCCCTGACATCAATGGCTGTCACTTTCACCTCACATCTGGAATTCAGCTCTTTTGTCCGTTTTTGGACCAAGGCTGTAATGAGGTCAGGAGCTGAGTGACCCTGGCAGAACCCCAACAGGGCATCACTGAGCAGGTTATTGCTGAGCAGGTGATGCTTGAAAGCACTGTTGGTGACACCTTCCATCACTTTACTGATGATTGACAGTAGAGTGATGGGGCGGTAATTGGCTGGGTTGGATTTGTCCTGTTTTGTTTTTACTTGGGCAATTTTCCACATTGTTGGGTAGTTGCCAGTGTTGTAATTCTGCTGGAACAGCTTGGCTAGGGGAGTGGCAAGTTCTGGAGCACAAGTCTTCAGTACTATTGCCAGAATGTTGTCAGAGCCTGTAGCCTTTGCAGTATCCATTGCCTCCAACCGTTTCTTCATATCACTGAAGGAGGCCAAGATGGATCATCTCACCGTGTGTGTGTGTGTGTGTGTGTGTGTGTGTGTGTAAGAGAGAGTGGAGTATTAATTTGTAGTGTTATGTGTGGAGGACAATTACTTGCAATAAATAGTAACTCTTGGTAAGCAAAAAAACCTGGTCTGTGCTTTCTAAGAACCTGTGTCTGAAAATCAGGTAAATTGAAAAATTTTGTGTACTTATTTTAAAATCTTTACCTTTTGCAGAGTCTCCTAGAATAGTGGGCTTGATTTCTGGCATGCTACCCCAGAGAGTCATGACACTTCAAATACATCAATAGTGTAAAAATAATCAGAAATGAAATAGATCACTGTGGGATGAACAAAATAAACTTCTAGGCTATGACAGTAAAACGTTAGAAATATTGGTTGGAAACTTGTAGCTGTCTGAACAACGTGGGCTATGGCGAGATTTGTGACAAGATTGGACAAGAAGTCCGGTGAGGCCCACCTCCATGTTGGGAGCAACTCAGGTGAGTTTCTTGCCAGGCATCAGTGAGTCGCCAGTTGATGGGGATTATTGCTTGTTTAACGCCTTGTTGATGGCCCAACTCACCTCATCAATGTTCAACTTTCTATCTTACCAAACTCACCAAACAAGCTAGACATCGAGAAAATGCAACATGGAAACCAGAACAATTATCTGACAAATTCAGCTTGCTCTAAATGACCTTGATGTTGCACCAACATCTCAGGGCATGCTTCATGGGCACTGGCCACATACCCAATGTCCATATGCGTCCTGTGAACACAGATATTGGCATCCAATATATGCCAGTTTCTAAGAACCCAGATGGTACATCTCCAATCCACTTACAGGACATTTCTCTACTTTAGTGAGGCACCTCAGATATCATCTGCACCTATCATTGTAATACTGCAGCAAGGATACTGTGCACTTATGGACTGGACTAGTCTTCATCTCCAGGCTCTTTCTTGCTGTCACTTTGACCCCACCTGGATGCTCATAGTATCCCTGCCCTGAACTGACTTTTGTTTTTGCACTTTGCTGTCTCAGCCAGAGACACCAGACTCATATTATTTCAGTCTTGCCTTGCCGCTTAGCACAGACACAAATGAAGGAAACTTGTTAGCAGGCCTTAATCAAATCAAGGAGGTTGGCTTTAATCAGGGGCTCCCAGCTCAGTAAGTTAAGGTCAGTCTAATACTGCTTTGATACCAGTCCAGGGGCTTGGAAATGGTCAGTCAGTCACTTGGGGTGGTCAATCCTGCATCTACCACAACCCCATCCAGCAAGACCTCCAGGTTCGTGTCTGCACAGCAGAGTGCCAATATCCCCTCGTCTGCCATGTCCAGAGCAGATGTCAGGAACTATGTAGGAAGCTCCAGACTGACAATGCTTATCCAGATGCACAATGGGCTTTTAAAGATGGTGTGGGCGCAAAAGATACTCATTCAGTGGCAGAGATAATAAGAATTGCCAAAGCTGGAGTCAGAGATAACACAGTGTGGAGCTGGAGGAACACAGCAGGCCAGGCAGTATCAGAGGAGCAGGAAAGTTGACGTTTCAGGTTGGGACCCTTCTTCAGAAATCTGATTTGAGTTCTGAGGAAGAGTCACCAGATCCAAAATGTTAACTTTGATTTTTTTCTTCACAGATGCTGCCAGACCTGCTGAGCTTTTCTGGCAACTTCTGTTTTAGTTCCTGATTTACAGCATCCGCAGTTCTTTCGGTTTTTATTTAGTATTTAACTCACTTTCTAGCACTTGGTCCATAACCTTAAATGTTATGACATTTCAAGTGCTTATCCAACTATTTCTTGAAAGTTGTGAGTTTTTAACTACCCTCCCAGGCAGTATATTCCAGATTCCCACCATCCTCTAGATGAAAAAATGTTTTCCTCAGATCCCCTCTAAATCTCCTGCCTTTTGCTTTAAAATAATGCCTCCTTCAACTAAGGGGTACAACAATTCACCTTGCCCATGCCCCTCAATCAGCTGGCTCAGGGGCTAGCACCAGGGGTTCAGGTTCGATTCCAGCCTCGGGTGACTGTCTGTATGATGTTTATACATTCTCACCGTATCTGCATGGGTTTCCTCCAGACGCTCTGGTTTCCTCGCTCACTGCAAAGATGTGCAGGTTAGGTGAATTGGCTACGGTGAATTGCCCATAGTGTCCAGGGATGAGCAGGATTATAGGGTACGGGTGAGAGTCTGGGTGGGATGCTGTTCGGATGGTTAATGTGGACTTGATGGACCGAACGGCCTGTTTCCACACTCTCAGGATTCTATGATTGCCTGCACTAAAGAAAATAACCTGATCCTATCCATCTTCTCTTTACAGCTGAAACACTCCATTCTAGGCAACATTCTGATGAATCTCTTCTGCACCCTCTCACGTGTGTGGTGTCCAGAACTGCAAATAGTACTCCAGCTGTGGCCAAACGAGAGATTTGTACAGCTCCAATATAACCTCCCTGCTCTTATAATCTGTGCCATGACTGATAAAAGCAATTGTCCTGTATGTCGTCTTGAATACTCTATTAACCTGCTACCTTCGGGGATCTGTGGACAAGCTCTCCAAGATTCCTCTATTCATCTGACCTTTATAGTGTCCTGCCATTCCTTCAGGGATCCGTGGACAAGCACCCCAAGATTCTTCTGAGCTTCCTAGTGTCCTGTTATTCATTGAGAACTCCCTTACCTTGATACTTTTTTCAAAGTGCATCACCCCACACTTTTAAGGGTTTAATTCCATCTGCCACTGATCTGCCCATCTGACCAGTCCATAACCTAAGACTTTTTTCCTTACCAATATCCTTGTGTCATCCGCAAACTTGCTTACCATCTATCTTCCCCAGGCCCATTCAGTTCTATATTGTTTATATATCATAAAAAATAAGGGACCCAGCATTGGTCCATGTGGTACGCTACTGGACACCAGCCTCCAGTCACACAAATAGCCTTCTCCCGCCACCCTCTGTCTCCTACAACTAAGCCAATTTTTGAATTCAACTTGCCAGGTTACCCTGCTTCCCATGTACTTCTACAATCTTTATCAATCTCCTATGTGCCAAAGGCTTTGCTGAAATCCATATAAAATACATCGACTACCTTCATCTACACAACTTACTCAACTCCTTGAAAAATTCATCACATTTGTTAGGCATGACCTCCCTTTGACAAAGCCACACTGACTATCCCTGATCAAACCTTTTTCCTTGAATGGGAGATTAATTCTTTCCTTCAGAATTTTCTCCAATAGCTTCCAACCACCGACGTGAGACTTACTAGTCTATAATTCCGTGGTTTATTTCCACCATGTTTCCTGAAAAGTGGAAGGACATTAGCTGTCCTCCAGTCCTATGATATCTTCCCTATGGCCAAAGAAGAATTAAACATTTGAGTCAGCGCTCCTGTAATTTCCTCCATCGTCTCCCACAACAGCCAGGGATCAACTCATCCAGATCTGGGGATTTGTTTACTTTTGAGCCAGTCAAAACCTCCAATTCCTCTTCATTCCCTATGTCAGTTTGCTCAAGAACCTCATAGTCCCTCTTCCTGAGTTCATGAAACCATTGTCAGTTATCAGAAAAATTCAATGGTTCACTAATGTCTTTTAGGGAAGGAAACTGCCATCCTTATCTGGTCTGGATTACATGTGATTCCAGACCTACAGCAATGTGGTTGATTCTTAACTGCCCTCTGGAGTGGGCAATAAATGCTGACCAATCCAACATTACCTCATCCCATGAATGAATAAAAGTACTCACTGAATCCCCTACCTCCAACTTCACACACAGGTTGCTACCTTGATCTCTAATTGGGGCCCACTCTCTCCCTGGTTATCCCCTTTCTCTTTCCACAGATGTTACCAGCCCTGCTGAGTTTTTCCAGCATTTTTTGTTGTTATTTCATATTTCCTACATCTGCAGTATTTTGCTTTTATTTGCTTGCATTTGTATGGTGCCTTACACCTCAGCATGATCCGAAGCACTTCATAGACATTGCATTACTTTTGTAAGTTTAGTCACTATTTGTAGACACAAACTACAGTAGTCAGTTTGTACTTTACAAGGGCAAGCTAACAACACCGAGATGAATGAACAGTTGATACATTTTATGTCAGCTGATTAAAGGATACGTGTTGACCAACCATTGGAGAACTCCTTGCACTTCAAAAAAGTGCTATGGTCCTCTTTGACATCCACCTGAACAATTGGTGGATGTCTTCATCCAAAAAATGACCTTCTATAATACAACATTGCCTCAGTAGAGAAGTGCCACCCTTGGTTATGCCCAGGCCCACAAATTCTTCAATAGGATTTGAAAGCACAACCTTCTGTCTCAAAGATTGCTGTCACTGAATCAAGTTTTATTATTTATTCTCTAATTCACTAATTTATTCTCCATTTGTAATCTGTAAAATTTAGTAACAGATGGTAGAAATTAATTTGACATAAATATATTTTAGAAGAATATATATTATCATTTAGCATTCAAAGGAAAGCTTACAAAGATAGTAGCAGCACTATTTGTTATTCATCGCAGAGAAGGATGATTAAGTTGTAATTATAAATGATTTATGGAGAGAACATTTGATTCTTACAACAAACTCCCTTAAGTTTTAGAAAAATGGACATAACAATTGTTAGATTAAAGTGTTCATTAGGAATACCTGTTAAGTGATAATGACTCTGCTGTCTTTTTTTTGTTTCAGATACAGTTATTTCTTAGTGATAGCTGGATTAATACATTGAAGAAAGTTCTACGTAGCAGCTTATGGGATGTCCGTAAAGGTTGGTTTAATTTACGGGAGTCTAACTGGGAGGTTTATCGCAAATCTAAGCTGCACATGCTGATGGAAATGATAAAATACAACCTTCAGGATTCTCTCCGCTACCTTGTGCAAGACTCTCTTGTCAACTACACTCAAATGATCCTTGATGGCTGTCATAGTTCTCTCAACTGCTCTGATGATATGAAATGGGGAGAAGACCTTCTTAACAGCAACTTCAAGTAAGATTCCCATGATAAATTTACTAGCATTTTCCAGCCAGTGCTGTACTTTTAGAACTAAATATTTCCCATGCAGTGCTTTGCTTTATGTGTGTATTTTACACACTGCATGAAAAACACCATTTAAGTACAGAGGAAATTACACAGTTAGGATGTTTTGAATCAATGTTCTAAACTCATGATGGTGCATCTTTGTTTTATTGCTTCTTGCACCAATTTTGATTAATTTGTCAGACTGTTTCTTTTCATCATTTTCTGTTTCCTTTGTCATGAGAAACAGACTGAGATAGATTGTCGAACCTAAATTAATATGTATTGTTGAAGTGGTGCACTAGCTAACATATTCTAAAATATAATAATATTATTAGATTCAGGAGATTCTACTATAACTTAAACATTGCCAAAGGAGATTAGAATTGTCTTATACTCATAATTAAGATGCAAGAATCAGATTTGAAAAAGGGAGATGATTTTATACAGAATGAGAAGAGGGTGCTGATTGGTTGGAATATAACTGGCAAAGACATGCAGCAAGAACAGTTAACCATCAAACTAATTCTCAGATCAGGCAGGTAAGCATTTTGGAAGGTCAAGTACAGGTGGAATGTATACAGTGAATGGCAGAACCCTCCAGGAGTATTGTATTGATACGCAGAGGGATCTGGTTGTGCAGGTCCACAGATCACTGAAGGTAGGATGACAATCTCAGGTAGATACAGTAGTAAAAAAGGCCTATGGCATGCTTGTCTTCATTGGAAGGGGCATTGAATATAAGGATAGGCAAGTTATGCTGCAGCTTTATAGAACTTTAGTTAGGCCTCACTTGGAATATTGCATACAGTTTTGGTCACTACCGGAAGGATGTGGATACTTTGGAGAAGGTAGTGAAAAGGTTTACTAGGAGGTTCCTTGGTATGGCAAATTTTAGCAATGAAGAAAGGTTGGTTAGAATGGGAACTGAATTAACTGCGGATGCTGTAAATCAGGAACAGAAACAAAGTTGCTGGAAAAGCTCGGCAGGTCTGGCAACAGATGCTGCCAGACCTGCTGAGCTTTTCCAGCAACTTTGTTTTTGTTCTCGGTTAGAATGGGTTTGTTTTCACTGGAACGCAGGAGGTTGAGGGATGATCTGATAGAAGTCTATAAGATTATGAATAGCATTGATAGAATGAAAAATATGAGGCTTCTTCCCAGGATTGAGAGGTCAATTACTAGGGGACACAGGTTCAAGGTGTGGTGGGGCAGAAGTTTAAAAGAGAGGTGCAGGGCACGTTTTTCACACAAAGCGTGGTGAGTGCCTGGAACATGCTGCCAGAGGTAGTGGTAGAAGCAGACACAAATAGCAGCATCCAAGAAGCACCTGGATGAAAACATGAATAGGAAGGAATAGAGGGATACGGATCCTGTAAGTGAAGACAATTTTAGTAAGGACGGGCAAAATGTGTCAGCACAGGCTTGGAGGGCCGAAGGACCTGTTCATGTGCTGTATTGTTTTTTCTTTGTTGTAGGTAGATCTGATTTGTCAGAGTGTTGCCATGGGGAACTCTGCAGCAGAGTTTGGCTGTCTCCATGAACCCCTTCTTTTGAAAATGATGCAATGTACTTACAAATTTCTTTGGCCTACATAAGATAGGGTCCTGAGTATTTATGTATGTAGCTTCTAGCACACATAATGCATTACACTGTGACTCCAGCTGATGATCTTAAATTAGTTTCCATTATAAATCTTAGTTTTGTCTAGGTTATTTAATGAATGATTTCCAACAGCAGAATCAGATTTAGTGGTAGATATACTTTTTTGAAGCTTCCAAGTACAATCTGGTTGAGCACAAGTGGTATTCTGACCACTTTGAATGGTCAACTGGACATGTTGTGTGATACAGTCTGTCAGTCATTACGATGTAAGGCCTAGTTTCCTGGCATCACACCAGCACTGAAATTCATATGTCACATTACTCATTTGTATAGTGCAAAGAACAGAGAACAGTACAGCACAGGAACAAGACCTTTGGCCCACCAAGCCTGCGCCTCTCAACCTCTAATGTTTAAGCGAAAACAAACCGAGTTTTTCCAATCTCTCCTAATAGCTAATACCCGTCAAACCAGGCAACGTCCTACTAAACCTTTTCTGTACCCTCTCTAAAGCTTCCAAGTCCTTCTGGTAGTGTGTTGAGCAGACTATGCAATGTTCCAAATGTGGCATTGCTAACGTTTTGTACAGCTGCAACATGACTTGCCAATATTTCTACTCTATGCCCCGACCAATTAAGGCAAGCATGCCATATGTCTTTTTGATCACCATATCTACTTGTGTTGTCACTTTGGGAAAGTGTGGGACTGAATGCTTAAATCCCTAGGCAAAACGTCATTTTGGCTTGTTGCCAGCATTGTGTTATTGGAGAACACCGCAAGCACATTTACTGCATATTAGAAGCATGAAGCAGCTAGCTTTCCCTATGCAAATTTTTGAGATACTTTCCCCTTCCAGGGCAATCTGAGATAGAGTGGGCACCAGTCAAGATGAAAAGGACATGAGCCCATTTGAGTTTTCACAATATACACCATGCTGATTTGATCAGGTTATCCTTTACCACACAGGCTAATTTTGAAATGCCCACCTCAGGTTCAAGCTTACATGGTGAGCAGATGGCTAGGGCCCTATTTACAAGGTTGCTAAAAAGATCTGGATAAGACTACAATAAGATTTTTATACCTGAGGCATGTTTCACAAGACTCATGCGGAATAAACAAGGCTAGCTACATTTTCTTAAGACATTAAAACCAGGCAACTGAGTCAGAGTCAAAAGTTCACATCTCTGTTTATTTCACATGTGCATGCTAATTTCACATATTCGGAACTGAAAGGCTCACTTGCTGATTAGCCAACTTGGAAAGACAATGGAGCTACACTCTGGAAAATACACTGAGCTATATTTTATCAGATGCTTTTGAACAGCAGAGCAGAGAGAAGAACATGGATCCACAAAAGCAGAACATGAAAGGCCGTCTCACTCTCACTGTTGGATTTTCATAATTTTTTTCTTGGGGACACAGATAATGAAATTTCTCTTTCTTTTGCTTGCTAATTGGCTCTGTCAATTTTTACCAAAGTATAGTTAATTGAAATCAGATAGTTGCATGCTAAAAAGATGGGAACTGATCCCCCTCTTCATTTGGTTATAGCAGTGCTTGGAAACAAGGATGCAATATTGTTTCCTTCCCACTACTTGTACTTTGAAGGGCTATTCCTGGCTAACAGAATTTGACCTAGTGTGTACTTGGGCTTTACATCCAGCAACAGCAGCACAAATCTTGTGGAGTTCCTGCAGAAGGGAGTACTTCTGCTGCTGCTGAGCGCCCTGTATAGTACTGTAGAGGCATAGTTCATATATACTGAGGTGAGCAGGAGGGAATTACATGAGATAACTTGCTAGATCTCACAAAGAGAAACCCTCTATGAAACTCCCTAAAATGAACATTTTGGAAATATGTGGCCCCATGTCTCAGAAAAATAGTCTGGATACCTGGAATACTAGTGCAGTACGATTGTCACTGTGCTCCTTTCAAGGTGTAAAAGTTACACTAAAATAGGAGAAGGGATTTACAGACAGTGCAAGGGCAGATAAAGATGGTGTACTAAAATAATTATCATTACTGAAAGTTGGTAAGTGACCTGACCCAAAAGCAATATACCCCATGTTGCTGAAAGAGGCAAAGATCAAATAGCAGAGGCATTGGTCTCAATCATTATGTCTTTGAGATACAGGATCAGTGCCAGATGATTAGAAGGTTGCTAATAATGGGAGGAGTGCTTTGGTAATCATGAGCCATCACAAATATATGAATAACCAATTGAATCAATAATATAGTCAATTTGCCTGACTGACTGCTACCTAGGACCAAAGAAACTTCCATAGGTTTCATCAATAAACGCAACACTTATTTATTTATTGAAAAAGCATCCCGTAACAGGTAACATAATGGATTAGTAATTATAACATGTAAACGAAAACTATTTCCCCTTTAAATCCAAACACACACACATACATATTAATTAACAAATAGGATGGACAAGGCAGATCACTCATGCTAGAAAACATAGGCAAACAACAATAAAAGCTTTTATGAACCAAGAGCCCAAATCACAAAGGTGGAATGAAATGAGTTTCTCACAGTTCTTTTCATTTTTGGTGATTGTTGACTGCTGAACAACAGTATTTACTCAATTAGTTGGATCCTTGATCTGTTTGACTAAGGTCCTTGCTTGAATTAGAAATTCTTCTTTTCAGAAGTCTTTGAGTCTTATTTTTCACTCAGGGATGGTGAGAACGGAAAGATCTGTTTTTATTTGCAGGCTTTCTTTTCTGAGTTCAACTGCTTCTTCTCAGGTCTGTGACAAACTGCAACTTAAAAAATCCAAAGACTATCATTGTAATCCAAAGGCATTTGGTAGCAGCTTGTCTCACAAAAATAACAAATCCTCCTTCTTGGAAAGTTACATGACCTTATGTAACCAATATGTAAGACTTCCACTTTTTGACTTCAAGTTATAAGGGACCCCATCACATTCTCTGCCACACAGCGGTGTCCAAACTTTTACTTCTTCCAGTTTATATTCCACAAAAAAATAGTCTTACAACATTATAATTCAAGAAAGCTGTGAAATCTTGAAGAGCTGTCAGAGATCTTGCATGCTGATTAGGCAGCTGGCTAGAGACCCATGCTGCCTCTTCCAGGGAATGCCCACCGAACCACAAGCCAATTGGGCTTTGGACTGGCCTTCAACATACTTTCACCTGAAATCAGCAACCCAGTCTTACCCACCAAGAATTTCTGTTCAGTTGGGGTTTGTCAGCTCTTTCACACAGCAGTGACACAGAGGAGACCTGGGGTGCTGCCATTAGAGCACCTTTTCAGAATCTTACAATCATAGAGGACTCAGGACAAAGGTAAGCAGTAGTTTGTGGGGGATGTTCTTGGAATTGGAGTCACAGGGAGAAGGGACAGTGGTTTAAAAACAAGGGCAGGGTGGTGACTCCTTGGGGGGACATCCTCATATTTATTGTCTAGTCCCTCAAGCAAGCACTGATTGACATTGATCAAGTGAATCCTCACCCACTGGTTCCCCGATTCCAATGTAACAATTTGTTGAATAGTAGGGTGGCGCCATATTCCTAGCCTTCTGCTGCTGCAAGCATTTTACCAATAGCAAAATGGTTGGCCAGCCTGCCTGCTCTTAAGCCAGTTGAGGCCCTTGGGTCACTACTTACAGTCCCCTCAGGACCTCTACCCACCACTACTGTCATTCTACCACTGGCAATATGCACCTTCCCATGTATGGAGAGCATTTTCTTGGTGGAATATGATGGGGCAGCCTTTTTATCAGGCATCATAAGACTCACGGAAGGCCACCTGCAAGAAACAAGTGCAGCCTCTCCCCAAAAAGTACTCCCAAGAGTCATGATCTGACAATCCCCAAACCCTGCCAGTTGCCACAGCCAACCTGATTGTCTGCAGTAAATCCAACACCACTTGCCTGTACTCTAAGCCTGCTCAATGGCCACTCACTTGGGCCTGCTGGGACTGATAAGCTCCTGGCCTACAGCTTTTGTGGGTTAAGATGTCCGTTCGTAGAGAGTCAGAAGCTACAACTGCAGCCAATTAATTCCTGCACAATTTATAATCCTGTTATGACTTCCATGGAAGCAAGACTGCCCCTACTTTCAGCCCCTTTCAACCCTTGTCAATAATTCTGTGTTATTAGTCATTGCCAAGCCTCCTACTGCAGAGCACTGTGCACTTTCCTTGTTTTGATGATGGAGAAGAAGCCTAACCTTCTTAAATATTCTGCCCATAGGATAGCACTACAGTCATTACTGTGGATGAAACAGTTAGGACACAGACCCCAAATCTATCCAGTTAGAACCAGGATCACACCATGTGCTGTTGGAATCAATCTGATCCATTCTGACTGTCCTGCCACTTGACCCCTGAGGACTCTATCCAAATTCATATTTACATGCATCTTGAAGCCATGAATGGTGATGGTAGGGACTCCAATTTCTTTCCATCTCATGAATGACCAGAAATTTTTCCTGGTCTTACTGCCTGTGAAAGGGTTAGTGTAAGGGTTAGGGTTAGAGTTAAGGTTAGGAAGATTAACACTTGGGTGGTTGAACAGAATGCCTATCAAAGAGAGTGGTTTCCACACATGGGAAGGTGCGTATCACTGGTGGTAGAATGATAGTAGCAATAGGTGGAGGTCCTGAGGTGACCTTAATTGGCAACTGAAGGGCTTCAACTGGCCTAAGCGCGGGCAGGCTGGCCAACCATTTGCTATTTGATATCAAGCCCTGAAGTAAAACTTGCATCTGGAGTTTCTGATTCAAAGCCAGGGATTTGTCTTGTTGCAATGCAAAACCCAGGAGTCCAATAGGAATGGTGGTATGTCCTGCATGTTTTAGAATAACTAATTTATAAACACAGCATACCAGACTTAATTGTACACTATTCATTGATATAGTTGCTTGTATGTAGTTTATTCTTATTATTAAAATGTTCAATAAAAGCCATGTAGCTCCCTTTTGCAGAGTCATATGGGGAGAAATTGGTTGTGGTCTCTTTTCATGTACAAAGCTAACAGAATGGGAGAATCACAATTCACTCTGAACAGGCTTTATTTAAGTACTTTGGATGAACTACCGAGTCCATTACATCTCTAGAGGCAACTTGACCATTTGAAAATAACCAATTTTGGCCTGGCAGCAGCCCTCAGTTATGTCATAGGAGTGAGAAGAAGGAGAGTGGGAGACGGGTTAATCATAACCAGTATCAACCTGTAGTAGTGTAAAGTTGTCCGATCCTGTACTTGTACAAGCAAACTTTTTACTAACCGGCACCCGTGGGACCAGCAGTGTGACGGTTGATCAAATATTCCATTGATCAAGAGGTCCACATTATCAATGTAAAAACACACACTTAGTAATAGAAACGTAACGCAGGGAGTATACGCTGTTATACTTTATTTGCAGTATAAATCACTTAAATAATGCAGCTTTGCCTTAAATAAACTTATTAGCAGAGGGCCTTTTCACTCACACCTTCAACTGACTACTGAGACATTGCTGACATCACCATAATACAGTAAACTTCTGGTAATTGAGATGCATAATTTTTGCCAGTTCATAAGGTGCCAGCTAAAGCAAAGTTTACTGTATTGCTTCACAAAACTTTTGAAATTTAATTTAGTAGTGATCTCATCTTTTTGCTTGTTTGTTGTTTTGTATTTCAGGCCCAGGAAAATGCCTATTTTTATTCTGGACCTCAATTTGGATAACAGCGGCGTGCACTTCAGCACGCCACTGGAAAAATTTAAGCCAGTCATATTGGCTCTGTTTGATAAAGCAATCACATCCGCACAGCATGTCCCACATATAGAAAAGGTAAAACGAGATGGATTGTTGCGAGATGATTTGAAATGAAGGAATTTTATGCTGGATTTTACCTTAGAAAATGTAGCGGATTAGTTAATGGATTAGAACATATTCTTTGGAAGCACCAAATTTGATAAGGCAATTATCCTTTCACATTCCAAGCTGTTTACCGGTAAGTATTTTATTTGTCATGGAAACAAATATCTCAGAACTTTACAAGGGGCAAAAATGAGCACATAGAAAGAACTGAAGAAATTTAAGAAAAGACCCTTAAAAGAAATGATTTATGAAGAGAATTCAATTGAACAGAAAATCAGTGTTCAAAAATTGACTATTGATATTGGAGCTACGTGAACAGAGAGCAAGCATTAAATCCCAAGTGAAAAAAAAAATTATTTTCCAGATGGGTCTGGGAGAGCCTGCAGAAATATTTGAGGATGATGACGATGAGGTAGATTTGCTAGATTACAGGGAGCTGGTTAAAGTTGGTGAGGATGGATGTCTAGGAATTTGTGCTGGATTAGTTGAAATCTGCAATGGATAGAGTTTGAGAAACTAATATGGAGATAATTTTTGTGAAGTCATTTTAGAAAAAGGGAGGAAATCCATTAAAAAAAAACTTGCTCACCCCTCGCTTCCAATCCTTAATGATTCTTTAAGTTGATTGTAATATTTATTTTGACTTGCAAGGCATTTTCCCAATGCAGACTAATGGTTTAGAATCCTGAGCTTCGGCAGTGCAGAAGCCTTGTGAAATATGTGAAACTAACTAAATATTGGTGCCCTGATGATGAATTTTAAATAGAATCACATAGAATTTTACAGCACAGAACCAGACCACTCAGCCTAACAAGTCTATACCCGACTTTATTTATCTTACCCTGTGAGCACAGTCCTCTCTTTCCTCCTCATATAAAGCTAATTCCTTTGTGTTTATCTTAATCTCCCCCTAATTTCTGTTGTGCAAAATCTTTGTGCAGGTTGCTAGCATCCTATAAATTGTTCATCCTACAATATACAGGATACCTAAGGAAATATCATGTTTCCACAGCTGAAACTCTGTAGTGCCTCAGCCATATCGCATTGCGTTATTGCCCATATAATAATCATAGTGACCATCCTCAGCTGCTTCATGAATGATCTTCCCTGTATCATTGGTTTGAAGTGAGGTTGCTTACTGATGATTGCACAAGGTTCGGCGTTATTCATGACTCTTCAGACACTGAACCAGCCTGTATCCATGTGCAGTAAGACTTTGATTACATCCAAGTTTGTGCTGATAAGTGGTAAGTAACTTCTTGCTGCACAAGTTCCAGGCGATGACCATCTCCAACAAGAGAGAAGCTACCCATTATCCTTTGATGTTCAATTGTATTAGCATTGATGAATTCCACATTATCAATGTCCTGGGGGTTACTATTGACCAAAAACTGAACTGGACCAGTCAAATAAATACCGTGGCTACAAGAGCAGGATCAGAGGCTAGGAATTCTCCTATGCTTGTCTACTATCTACAAAGCACAAGTGAGAAGTGTGATTGAATACTCTCCAATTGAATACTTGCCTGGATGGGTGCAGCCCAAATAACATTCAAGAAGCTTGACACCATCCCTAGACTGGCACCCCATCCATCACTGTCAATCTTCACTCCCTTCACCACTGATACACAACAATAGTGTTACAGACCAACTACAAAATGCACTGCAGCAACTCAGTAAGAGTCCTGTGCAGCACCTTCCAAACCCATAATCTCTACTACCCTCGTAGGACATGATCAACATGGGAACATTGGTTGTAATTTTCCAAAATTTCTCGGATTCTGGAGAAGTACTGGAGGATTGGCAAACTCCCCATGTGAAACCCCTATTCACAAAGTGAAGGAAGCAAAATGTGGGGAACTATAGCCCAAGTAGTCTAAACATCCCTCATTGGAAAAATGTTAGAAACAATTATTTAGGAAGTGATAGCAGCATATTTGGAAAATAATAATCTAATTAAGCAGAGTCAGCTTGGCTTCATGAAAGGGCAATCGTGTCTCATTAATTTATCAGTTTTTTGAGGAAGTCTCAACCAGAATGGATTGAAGGGAACCAGTAGATGTGTTGTATTTGAACTTGCAGAAGATGTTCAACAAGGACTTCCCAAACTATTAAGTTGTAATACAAGAGTCCATAGTGTTGGAGTTAGTATTTTGGCATGGAAAGAGAATGAGCTAATGGGCAGGAAACACCAAGTGAGATGAGGGGTTCTTTTTCAGTTGTGTGACAGATGCAAACAGTTTACAGAGAGATATTGATAGTTTAAGTAAGTGGGCAAAATGTTGGCAAATGGTGTATAATATGAGAAAATGTGAAGTTGTTCATTTTGGAAGGAAGAACGAAAGAATAGAGTATTATTTAAATGGGGGGTAAAATGAAGAAAGCTGCAACACAAAAGGCTGTTTGTGTATGAAACACAGAAAGCTAGCATTCAGGTGCAGACGTTAATTAGGAAATCTAATGGAATGTTGGCTCTTATTTCCAGGGGTTAGAACATAGAACAGTACAGCATAGTATAGGCCCTTCGGCCCATGATGTTGTGCCGAACTTTTACTCTAAACCTAAGGTCTATCTAACCTCCACCCCTATCTTATACTATCATCCATATGCCTATCTAGTAGCCGCTTAAATGGCCCTAATGAGGCCGACTCCACTACCCTCTCCGGCAATGCATTCCACACCCCTACCACTCTCTGAGTAAAGAACCTACCTCTGACGTCTCCCCTATATCTACCTCCACTCACTTTAAAACTATGCCCCCTCGTAATAGCTACGTCCATCCTAGGAAAAAGTCTCTGGCTGTCCACTCTATCTATACCTCTGATCATTTTGTACACTTCTATCAAGTCACCGCGCATCCTTTGTTGTTCTAAAGAGAAAAGCCCTAGCTCTCTCAACCTTTCCTCGTAAGACCTTGCCTCTATTCCAGGCAACATCCTGGTAAATCTCCTCTGTACCTTTTTTGAGTATAAGAGTAGGGGAGTATAAGAGTTGGAGTATAAGAGTAGGGAACTCTTACTGCACTGTACAAAGTGCTAGTGAGACTACATCTGGTGTACTGTGAGCAGTTTTGCTTCCTTTATTTAAGAAATAATATTTCATTGGAGGCAGTTTAGAGAAGGTTCACGAGAATGATCCCTGAAATGGAGGGATTGTCTTATGAGCAAAGGTTAAACAGGACAGGACTCATTTAGACGAAATTTAGATGAATAAAAGGTGATCTTATTGAAACAAATAGGATTCTTAAGGGACTTGACAAAGTAAATGCTGAGAGGATGTTTCTCCTCATGGGAGAGTCTAGGACCAGAGGTTATGGTCTCAGAATAAGGGTGTGTCAATTTAAGACTGAGATAAAAAGGAATTTCTTCTTTAAGAGGGTTGAGAGTTTTTGGAACTGCTAGCCATAGAGAGCTGTGGGAGCAGTGTCCTTATGTATATGGCTGAAATAGATTCTAGATCAGTAGGGGAATCGTGGGTTTCAGTGACAATGCAGGAAAGTGGATATGAGGAATACCATTTCATCAATGATCCTGTTGAGTGGCAGAGCACAGTCGAGGGGCTAGAAGGCCAACTCCAGTTCCCATTTCTTATGGTTTTATGGTCATAAATACCATCTGCAAGTTCTATTCCAAGTCACACAATCCTGACTTGGAATTATAATGCCACTACTTCACTGATGTTGGATCAAAATCCTTGAACACCTTTCCTGATGCACTATGGATGTTCTCTATGCATCAAAGAATACAGTGACTCAAGAAAGCCCACTACCATCTTCTCTAGAGCAATTATAGGTGGGCAATAAATGCTATCCTAGCCAGAGATGCCCACATTCCTGTGAATGAATAAAACATTCTACTGTTGTCCTAATTATTTATTTAACTTTTGTCTTTTAGTTTGTCCTGGAGGAGATGTTCCAAAGTGGAACACCGCTGTTGGAATCTGTGTGGCATAATGAACCACCAGTACAGGAGCTGCGCAATACAACCAAAAATGCCATTGAGAAAGCATTAATACCCTTGAAAAGCTATGCCAAGGAGTATGAACAATTCATGGAACTGAACGAATTGGATATTGATAACTATGTAAAGTTAGTATTTATAAAATTCATGGATATATTACTGATTGATCTAATTTATTGATTAGGACTTGCATTTTAAGAACATAATTGCTATAATCCCCTTAGCTCAGTCGTCAAATGTACCACACAATGTTGAATTAAATACACACCAGAAAAATTACAGACTTGTTCTTAGTTTGTGTGACACATAGAAACATAGGCTGAGAAAATAGCTCTACCAGCAACAAAATCGCCATCCTCCTGCTGCTGCCAGGATGTGCCATGTACCTATTGGCTGTTAATTGAGTTGAGGCAGGATTTCCGCCCCTCAGAAACAGGTTGTCACAGACTAATTAGAACCAACACTTCCTAATTAGCGGCAGCACTCTGGATGTGTTCGCCACCATCGGTTCTTTCATGATGCTGCGGAGGAGACTATTCCATCTTTCTGGAAATTCTTTTGATGGGAGCACTGGGTCATGTTAAGAAAGGACCTAACATTTTCCAGAGCAGCTTGCACATGAAATCTTGGTGTCATATGGAGTCAACTGCCCCTATCACTAGTTTAATCTTCATCTCGATGTGATCTCCTCCAACTTGTGATTTCACTGGTCTGAGGGGACAATGAGGTAACCATGGCTGACAAAGGAAGTGAGGGACAGCATAAAAACAAAAGAAAAAACACACAATATCATGAAGATCGGTGGGAAGCCAGAGGATGTAGCCCTTAAGGAGGCATTAATTTCCTACTTATGTGTCTCATTTGGATCATGGGCATGCTGCCTGAGTCATCTCTCATTGCTGGTAAAGTTGTAGCCAGGATAGAAGAGGGTGGATATGCTGCCCATGGGATTTAACATGCACCCTGCCATCAAACCTGCCAGTGGAGGAGTGTTAAACCCATCTTTTAGATTTAGATCTAGATTTAACAGCTACCGACTGCATTACAAAGGTTTCAGGAAATCGGTCTGCTGAATCTATCTCATAAGTGTCTTTCCAAAAGACAGATGTGCCTGTCACCATGATTGGCCAACTTGTCCCATCCCCACCCCATCACACCATTCTACTGTGATCCAAGCTTTCATCCAGTTCTGATTTACAAATTCTTCAGTCTCCATGAATCCATCATCTCTTTCCCTGAAACAATTTCCACACTGATGACACCCCCAACCAACAATCTCCTGCAATTTGTGATATTCTTGTTTGTTTCCAAACACACAATCTCTCCCTGACTCATACTGTGCTGACCAAGATCACCCTTGCAGTCTTCTTAAACCCACGATACTGCCTCCCCAAAACTGCAAAGTTCTTGGACTTGCAGTTTGTCATCAACCTGCAATCTTCCTGACTCATTATCTTTCCTAATCTATTGCCATCCTTCATCCATGATTTAAACTGAATTCTTCCCGACCATAGTCTTCCTCAACCTGTAAATCCTTATGTTTCCTTCCAACAAGATGTCTCTTCAATTCTTGGCCTTTTTCTTGAAGCACACAAGCTCTTTAACGTGACCGAGATCCATCCAAACCAGTCTTTTCAAAGTTTCTTACAAATGGCCTAACTTGCAATCTCCTTAACCTGGGATTTTTTCTACTTTACCCTGACCTCCAAGTTGCAATTTTTTCAAACCAGTTTAGTCTTCCTTAATGTACTATTTCTTCAGTTACCTCCTCTGTAACCTCCCACCTGACCTATACTCTTTTCAATGTTTCCACAAGCCCATCAAACCATAATCTCTTCAAGTCACTCACTGGATTTTTTTTTTCCAGCCACTATCTCAATTCCACTATGATTTCCCAAACTTGTAAATTCTTCAAATGTTCTGCAATTCTCCTGACCAATGATCTGCCCATCACCACTTCAAACAACGTATTCCTCCTTGACTCATAATATCTTCAAACCTTTATGACCAATTTGATCTGTGATCTCTTTATACCCTCATGACCTCTTGTTTTGCAGATAACATAAAGTTATGTGAAGGGACAGGTAGTTTTGTTGAAATGGGGAGACTGCAGAAAGACTTGGAGAGGCTAGGAGACTGGGCAAAGAAGTGGCAGATGGAATACAATATGGGAAAATGTGAAGTTATGCACTTTGCTGGAGCAGACTTAATGGGCTGAATGGCTTAATTCTGCTCCTATATCTTATGGTTTTATAGCCTATAGCCTCTCCTAATCAGGAGATCTCTTTCTTTCCTTCCTTTCCATTCTTTTGCTGTATCCATTCAGGATAGACATCATAACTGACAGCCATGCGGCCTCTCAAAAGAGGTCAAATGAAGTCCTGAGCTCTGCAATATCTACATCTCTTGATAGTTTGACTGCTACAATCCTACTGTAACAACCTCCCTGTACCTATCAATTCTGTAGTAATACCTACATGCAGAAAACATACAAGTGGTGAGATGGAGGCTTAATCCACCACTCTGCTGCATTTTTAATCATTACCCTTTCAAAGCAGCATTAGTGGGGTCCTATGAAGAGATTTTTTTCTTCCAGTAATTTCATTCACAGATTAGAAGGAAGATTACAGTGGGGTAATTAAAGATATTTAATTCACTTAGGATCTTTAATTTCAACTCGTTATAAAATTACTTTACCATCTTTCCTGTTGAAGTTAATGGCAGAGAGCAAATCTAAATTATAGACCATGTGCATTATCCAAAGCTCCAGTGACTTCTGTACCCCTGAAATGGAGATGAAAATTACAGTCAATTTGTTGTAGTGCACCTTTTGGGAGAGAGTTTTTAACTGAGTTTTTAATGTGTATTCCATTAGTTGAGTGCTTTTCATTATAATTCTTGTATTTTAGTTACATGGTTCCATGGTACCCAATTAAATGATATTAAAATACAAAAGAAGAGACAGTCCATAGTTGAAGAATGTGCTTTGACGTGTGGAACGGTCTTTCTCAGCCTAGACCTTTTGAAGAATTGTGTGGGCTCAATCAATGCATTCCTATGATTGAGTGAATGCATCTTGTGAGAAATTGCAAATATGATCCTACATCATACTACTCAAACACACAATGTATTGGAGCAGCCAAAATGCTGCTGTCCTTCTAATGTCTTTTGTCCATTATGTTCTGCATAATTGTAGGCTCTAAATCAATTCTTACACCTGAGATTTTAGATCTATTACTAGGGAGAAATAGTTGGGATCATTCCTGTTGTCTTCCTCAAATTTGGTTTTACCTTTCACGTAACTTCTCATTGCTCGATTGCAACCAAGGATGAAGAGTTGTATCCACCCTTTATGAGGAGTGCTTCAATTGAATACAAAACCAGTGTTCAGAGTTACCTCTCCTCTCACAAATGCTGTTTAGTGCGGAGCCCAAAACAATCCTTACGATGCAGAGGAATGATGCATATTATATATGACTCAGCAGTAACTCTAAAGTTAAGTCTTCCACCGTATCGCAATCCATTATTTAGATTCCATATTCTCGTCTTCACTCATGGGACTGTCTGAAGTGGGACTCAAACCTTTCATCTTCTGACTAGGTCATGAGAATAATGCCACATTGCTGAATGCTCACTTGCTATGCTGCTTTGTATCTCAATAAAATATTTGGAAGCTCATGTACAGTTTGGGTAAATCCACAATGGGAGATTTTTATTTTCTATTCAATCATGGAATGTTGGTGTCGCAGTCAAGACAAACATTTTTTGTCCTTCTCTAACTGGAAAAGATGATGGTGAGCTGTCTTCTTAAACTGCTGTGTTGATCTAGTGACAGTGAAGGAACAGTGATATACTTCTAAGTCAGGAGCGTACATGGCTTCTAGATGGTCGTGAATGCTGTTGGAAGAACTTTGGTCAGTTACTGCAGTGCATCTTGTAGGTGGTACACACTGCTGCCACTATGGGAAGGTGGTGGAGGAAGTGAATGTTGAAGGTGGTGTATGGGGCGCTGATCCAACAGACTGCTTTATCCTGGGTGCTGTTAAGCTTCATGAGTGTTGTTGCAGCCACAGTAATCCAGGCATTTCATGTTGCCGAGTTTAAGTATGTAATATCTGTAATTTTAAATTGTTTGTGTAACTCTTGTAGAGCCTTTTCGAATCAAGATCCAACAGTTCATGAGGTGAAATTAGAAGTGGACCGTCATTTCAAGAAGAAAGCTCAGATAGAAAACACAGTTCCTAGCACAATCACCATTGGACCCTTCGTTATCAGTGTGGATTCATTGCGAAGCAATCTTTCCAAGAAATGCGGTAACTTGGCCCAAGCTGTATTGAAAATGTTTGCAAAAAAACTTAACTCACAAGTGGAAGAGGTAAGTTTAAAATAAAATCAGACTCTAATTTGCTGCAGTACTGAACAACTGTTGTCACTTAATTTCAGAGCATCCACTGGTCTGATTTATTGAATCATATGAATTAATTTCCAAATGGTGCTTTTGAAAGAACAAATGATTGGACGTGATTCCATACTATGATTAATGCACTAGATTTGCATTATCTGTATACTGAATAAACAAATTTGTCATAGGCTGGAATCAAATTAAGGATTATGAATTGTCTGTACAGTTTGTTGAACAGAATTGTGGAATGTGTTACAGGCAAACATATTCAGGGCTTTTCATGATTTGGATGTAAAATAATGGATACCTCAATGTATTACGTACTGTAACTTAAGGAGGGTTTGGGATAGTTTTCAAATGAAAAATGAATGTTAGAAGGGATTAGAATGATTGGAGTCAAGTCTTAATAGAGAATGAATGATGAGTGGGTGTATTTTCTTTACAAAGTACTCCTCTGATTTGAATGACAATTTTTCATTGAGATTCCCTGTCTTCCTTTTAGTTAGACATTAAAAATTCAACAACTCTCTTCAAAGAGAAGGATACTAATTATCTTAGCCTTTTTTTATCTCTCAATAAACAGAATTTCTAGAAATTTGTCTTATTGCTGTTTGGTCTACCTGCTAAATGCAAAATTTGCCTACAATTCAAAAGTATTTCCTTACCTGTGAACTGCTTTGGGATATCCTGAGGAAACGAAAGCTTCCACATAATTTCAAGTTCTTTCTTTATTTCTCTCCTTCAATGCTTAACTCCCAAGCAAAGCAGCCTTAGTCAAGAGGTGAGATTCTCTCTATGGGTTGAGAAGCAAAACTGAATACAAGGAAACTTGCAGAATGCTTAAACATTCTCAATGCCGGTGAAGGCCCGAGAAAACATTGACTTCTTGTCAGCTTAATATAGAAGGCACATTGAGAAAGAAAGTAACAAAGCACAATTTATAAAATGGGATGCATAATTATTGAAAAATTATTTGATTTCTGTGGAATAATTCAGTGTAATTTCTATCCCTTAGATCAATGATGATTTTAAAGTGATCAATAGAAAATTGTTTGAAAAGGCAAATACCATTGAAGATTTGACAGAACACCGGGAATGGATGAAGAAAGTTCCTGAAATGTTAAAAACAAATGAGGTATGGATATATAAACACAGGGAACAAGAAAAGTCCATTCAGTCCATCAATCCCCTTTCTTATGTGTACAATCTATCCCATCATTATGCCTCACTATTTAACATACTGAGAGAAAATTGAACAATAGTATTACTTGATTGAAGCAGTGATTGAGTAAAACTATATAATTCATTCAACCATTCATCCATAATTGCATCTGCTATTCATTGTTCATTGCCTAACTGCAGATAGCAAACAATAGTTTGGTGCCTTCCAACCTCTATGGTAGAAACAGAGGCGATATCAAGGGCCTTGGAGAGGTCAGAGACTGCGGTGAGATCAGAGGCATGTAACATAAGATCATTGGGTACTTCAAAGCTTGGGAAGTTTCATCTGAACTGATTGATTTGAACTTGTTGAATGCCTATAGTTCTTGTTACTTAGGAATAGGAGTAGGCCAGCTTTTGAACCTGTTCCACCATTCAATTAGATCACGATTGATCATCTATGTCAATGCCAATTGCCTGCACTATCTCAATATCCCTTTATGTCATAAGTTTGCAGAATTTCTATCTTGAACATGCTTAATGACTGAGCTTCCAAAGCTCTCATGGGTAGATAATTCCAAATATTCACCAGTTTCTGAGTGAGGAAATTCTTCCTTATCTCAGTGTTAAATGGCCTGTTCTTTATTCTGAGATTATGTCCCAGATTACGTCCCTTGATTTTCAACTCACTAGCCTCCTATCTACATCTACCCTGTTATGGTCTGTAAAAAAATTAGTTAGTTTCAATGAAATCACCTCTAATTCTTCAAAACTCTAGAGAATACTGTCGCAGTTTCCTCAGTCTCTTCCCTTCAAACAACCCTCTATCCCGGGATTAGTCTTGTGAACATTTGTTACACTCCCTCCATGGCAAGTAAATCCTTCCTGAGATAAGAAGACCAAAACTGTGCATAATATTCCAGATAAGGTTTTGTTGAGATTCTACACAATTGCAGCAAGACTTATACTTCTATATTTAAATTCCCTCGCATAAAAGGCCAACGTTCTATTTACCTTCCTTATCGATTGTTGCATCTACTGGTTGGTTGTTAGAGATTCATAAGCAGGGGCACCCTGCGCCCTTTAGACACCATCACTTCCTAATATATCAACATTTAAGAAATAATCTGTCCCTCATTTTTTCTACCAAACATTTTAAAACACTTATTCACATTATATTCCACCTGCCACATTCTTGCCTATTTGCTTATCTTGTCCCAATCCGCTTGAAGATTCCTTGTATCTCTCTGAGCTTATACTTCCAGCTAGTTTTGTGGCACTAGAAAAAATAAATATTACAACTGGTCCCCAAATTAAAAGCATTGATTAGATTGTGAACATCTTTAGTACTAGCACTGATTCTTGTGGTAAGAATGATCTTTCAGCCTTCCATGAGAATGACTAATTTATTCCAACCGTCTGCTTTCTGTCTTAACCAATTTCAATTACCCCAATGCAATGTAAATTTTTACTAACTTCTTATCCGGTGCCTTAACAAACACCTTCTGAAAATCCAAATACACCATATCCATTTGTTCTGCTTTATCTATGCTGCAGATAGAATACTCAAAGACCTCCAACAGACTTGTCAAACATGATTTTCCTTTACTAACCCCATGTTGATTTTTGCCCAATGTTATCATTATTTTCTTAGTGTCCTGTTATCACATCCTTTATGATTGATTCTAGCATTTTCCTTACTACTACTAACATCAAATTAACAGGTAGGTGTGTAGTTCACCTAGTTAAATTAAGAGGTAATCTTGTTTACTTTATAGCCAATTTTTAATAAGTCAATAATGGGAGAATAACTGGGAGCAGTCAAACCTTCTTTTGTAGTTGTGGTAGCCAAAATCCTTCTGACAAAAACACACAATTGAAAACAATTGCAAACTTTGGTTTCCCTTTCTGGTTGTCTTACAACAATCTCTTGGCACCAACCTCCCTGTGAGGCCTCTGATAACATTCAAACATTTGCCATCTATTTGAGCATAAAGCCTCTCTGGAATCAAAATGTCTATAGAGTACTGTGAATAAAAATCATGATGTGGAGGTGCCGGTGTTGGACTAGGTTGAACAAAGTCAGAAGTCACGTGATACCAGGTTATAGTTCAGCAGGTTTATTTGGATTCATAAGCTTTCAGAGTGCAGCTCCTTCATCAGATGAACTCGTCTGATGAAGGATCAGCACTTCAAAAGCTTGTGATTTCAAATCAACCTGTTGGACTATAACATGGTGTCATGTGACATCTGACTGTGAATAAAAATTAATCTGTAATTAACTTCCAGACCTGGTCTCATAAGCAAATATCACTTTTGTTTGTTCTCGTTCTAAAAAAACAAGTTGTTATTCACAGTCTAAAGATCACCTTCAGTTCTCAGCTCACAGTTCACAGCTCCAAATGAGAATTATAAAAATAAAAGAAAACCAGGAAGGCATCTAACATCATGTATCCAATAGGCTAGGGTATGCTGGATGCTATAGGGTAATGGGCTACAAAGTAAACATCTAAATATTTGGTTATATCAGCACATTTGTAGGACTATTATGTTGTAACTTAAAGGCACTGGTCCACACAATGGAAATATGAATAGGCTAAATATTCCATAGCCTTATGAGGCATCTAAAAGTATTTCTATAAATTATCTAAACTAACCATTCCAAAATGATTATCTTAACTGTTTTAAGTTTTATTTCGAATTGGTAGTTCACTGATCGAAAGTGTATTTAATGAATTAGTGATTCAAAAGAAATGCTTCAGAATATATTTTGACAAATCCAGCACCATTGATTTCCAGCTTATGGGTAATGATGGATTTGGAGATGTTCTAGCATCTGACGTTATTAGCTGAAATAGGTCTCTGGCCTTTTTCATATGTCAAAGAGGTGTCTCAAGCCTTTTTGAGAATCCCTATGGGAGTTTTTGCAATGCTGAGCAGAAGCAAAACTGGTGCCAGGTCTGCTTCTCTCAGGATTTGCTGATGAAAATATGTCAGTGGTCACCACCAAACGGCTAAGAAACATAAATTTGAATGTATAGCCAAGAGGGACATCTATTTAATGTCACCCTTTCAGTGGCTGGAGGGATACGTTTTTTTGTTTCCTCATATGCGCTACACAATTTTGAAATAAAATGAAGCTACTTGTGATCTCGTGAGAGTGCATTGAAATCTTGGGATTATTATTAATTGTTCTGTGCATTGGCACCCACTATGTGCACTCAATCAGTCACACCCATCCATCAGCCTAGACTTCAGAGAGCTGGATGCAGCAGAAACCTGAACAGAGATTACTGGAAGTGCATTGCTTTCTTGTACATGGTAGCTGAAATGGCCATGGATGTGGGACCAGCTTCTACAATTTGTCAGAACCTGACTAGTGTAAATCATTGTGCTTTATAATATGAAGCTATCACTGACTAAGGATACCAAACATGCCTCTCATCACAAGTCATGTGCATTGTCCTACGGTAACTAAATGCTGTGATGCGTAGTTTCTAGACCTACAAACATCTAATTTTGTGTATGAGCAGTCTGAAAATAGCCTTTGTCCTGGCCTTGCTAAAATCCTGCTGGGATTATTATATTCAAATTATATAAATTAAAATCGTTTATATATTTACACCTCATTGCTCTTCGCTTATATTGCGCACTTGTGTATTTAGCCTTCATAAACCGTAAAGCTTATTTTAAAGAAGTCGGCATTAAAAAATACATATAATTAGATCAGATTATTTTTTCCCATTTATGTCTATTATGTTCATCTGTTGTAGTAGTAGTAGTATCAATTTACTTTAACAAAATTAAAACTCTATGCCCCTCCAGCAAATCTCTGGAGATGGCGACTTCATCAACTGGATGAAAGCTTGTACCACTGTGTCTGGAGTAATTATTTTTGTTTTATTAATTAATGAGATGTGGATGTCACTGGTTAGGACAGCATTAATTTGTCATTCCTAATTGCTCTTGAGAAGGTGGTAGTGATTTTCCTTTCTGAACTGCGAAACCCTTGAAGTGTAAGTAATAATGTCTCTGAACAGGTTGATTGAAAACAAATAGTTGCACTTCTCTGAGTCAGTTTTCAAATAAGCCAGACAGCAGGCAGCATCAGGCTCTAGGCAAGATAGGCGACATTGTAAATTCCAGGCAAGGTGCTTATGCAAGCCGAACCTCTGATATGTGGGTGCAGCTGATCAAGTATACATGTACAGTCCATAAATAAATGTGGCAAATTTAAGAATTTTGAATTTAACTTACAAATTCTAATTTTAAGACACTTTGGGTACAGAACTGCAGGTCAAAGTAAAATAGTCTCCAAAGTTCTGCCTCATTCTGTTAACTCTAGCCTGTAAGCAGCACCCTGGCTCAGTGGTTAGCAATGCTGCCACACAGCACTCAGGGACACCGGTTTGATTCTAGCCTCAGGCAACTGTCTGTGTGGAATTTGCATGTTCTCCCTGTGTCTGAGCAGGTTTCCTCCCACAGTCCAAAGATGTGGGAATTAGGTAGATTGGCCATTCTAAATTGACCCATAATGCCCAGGGATGTGCAGATTAGGTGGATTAGCCATGATAAATGCAGGATTATGGGGATAGGGTGGGATGCTCTTGTAGGGTTGGTGCAGACAGACTTCATAATTAATAATAGGTGGGATTTTCATAATGCATTTTGGCTGCAGTAATATTGTTTTTGTAAAATGCTCTGATCTGTTAGAAATTGAATTTAGCCACTAATAAGGTTGATAAACTAATGGTCAATTTATATTGCAATAAAATCCCCATAGAAACCAATAACTTGTTAAAAAATTGAATTTCTAGTTAAGGTTGAAGGGATAACACAATGTTTTAATATTTAAGTCTGTTACTGTAACATTGGACTCAAAGCATAAGATGAAACATTATGTTTGTAAGCAACTTTTAAAAACAAAAAAAGAACTTTTGCCTTATTACTTTCTCACACAACTAAAAAACACAATTCATGGGTATACTTCATGCAATCTTTTAAATTGATATTCAGTTCCCCGAAATCAGTTAAAAATGGTTTTTAGCTCCTAAGGGTTTACTTCTGTTCTCCTTGTTTCTCAACTTGATGTTATATATTGCACCACCTATAAAGATCTAAGAATTAATTAGCCAGGAAACAATTGTATGTGCAAGTGTTACAGTGGGCAACATTCACAGCTAATGTTTGTAATATGGCATCAGCCTGTGTTAGACTCCTAGCTAGTAGCATGGCAAGTTAGAAGTTCACAAATTTCAAAGCCTAAAATGTGATTACTTCAAATATTCGGCAGTCAGAAAATAATCAGAATCCATAACATCTGGTCACTTCTAACCCCAACCTGTCCTTAAAGGTGAGAATATTACTAAAGATCCTCCCTCTCACACAAGCAGCAAATGTTCCTGCTTCATTTTAGCTCCTCATAAATTTGTGCATTTCAATCCAAGCTACTATTCACATTCTGGCACAGTGAACCACAGGAACCTTTGGCCTTTAGCTGTTCTGGATGCCAATTGTTTTTTTTTTCACTTCCAGCTCTCTCTTTCAAACTAATCTGTCTGTGCTATACAATGATATTTTAGGAAAGTCTGATATCCAGCGTCACAGTGGCATTCACTTTACGCTTCTCATCGTAAAGCCATGACAATGATGCAAATGGTGGGTGTAATTGTAACGATTGTGATGAGACGTCATCAAGTTGACCTCATAGAATATGAGTACCCAGACTGGAGCTGTTAATCTGGTTCAGTCAGCCCTGGCTGACAAATATAAACAGGAGTCAGAGTCTGAAAGCTGCTGAGACGAAGCCGGATCAGTGTCAAGGACTTTCCATGTGTGAATAAAAGGGTGATTTGGTGATGGCCTCTGTGGAGTTATTTCAGTAATACACGGTATTCCTTGGCTAGCCCAGAAACACCCCAGGCATACCTCCAATGATACTGTTAAATAAAGGAAAGGGAACAGAGTTCCTAAAGTTGACCAATTCAGTTTTACCCTCTCTCATCCCAATAATGATAACTGCTTTGATGCTTATAGCATAATGAAAGAATAGTCCAAACTTTTTTCATTCTTTGAGTAAAGGAGTTGACTTTCACTTTGTTCAAGGATGTAGACCCTGGCTATTGCGAGCAATCGACCAGGCATTATCTTTTTCTCCAATAGTTTGAATGGAACCTAAAATTAATCTGTAATATAATTGACAATCAATCGACAAATCTCTGTTTATTGTTATGCTTCATTGGGGTAGTGGGCTGGAAATGAAACCCTGTTCTTCATGGAATTGTCACAGAAGTTAGAAATTTTAAAAAGTATGCAAAGATCCCACAATTTGCTTGTCTTTTAGACCCAGGTTAACAGGAAGTAAAATCCAGGTTTTTATTCTTAAAGAGAATAATTACTTATTACAAGTAATTAGAATTTATCTACTGATAAATAATTATGAACTATCGCATATAACTACTAATTGAAACTCTAATTTCTTTTGATACAACATGAAGACAGGCAGCTGAACCAAATAAGCCTTTCTACCTCTGTATTTGCAACACAGTAAAATTGAAACCTTCAAAAACTTTCAAAATTGACCTGAAAACTTCCTAACTAGACTTTTGAATAACCAATCACAGACTCTGCAAATAATTCCAGATACCAGTCTGATTCTTAAACAAAAGACTTAGCAATTTATTAACAATATAGTGACTTCCGAGAGTGAAAAATTAAACAAAGTAATCTAGTTAATAGCCATGCTTTAAGCCCAAACCTTTGTTTTCATCCCCATTAACACAAAAAACAGATTTATAAAAACGGTTAAGAGATAAACAAAGGAACAAAATTGGCCAAATTACTCAGTGGTTTTCACATTGTGTTGTTCCACAGGCATACATGATGGTTTCTTGGTTGATTTTTTTTGAAGATGTCAATCAGAGTTACCTTTTCAGTGCACTCAGATAAAGGCAGTAATACTTACAACTTAGTTTTCTGTTTTCTGAGCTTCCAAGAGCTGCTCATGGGAGGTTAAGGTCAAAAGTCACACGACACTAGGTTACCGTGCAACAAAATTTTATTATAAAGTCTGTGCCCGGGTGCTCTCTTCACTTCATCTGACGAAGGGACAGCATTCCAAAAGCTGTTGGACTATAACCTGATGATGTGTGACTTTTGACCTTGCCCACCCCAGTCCAACACTGGCACCTTCACATCATGGGAGGTTAGGCAGGAAGTTTTCAATTCTTCATGTTGTAGCATCAACAGCCAGATTCATTTTTTTTTCCATGTAAATACAGTCCAAAACCAATTCAACTCTGACTGCTCCCAACAGACTGATCATTTCCTCCATGAAGCCCCAGTTACCATTCAGCATCTGCCATCTGCTTGAACATAAGATCTTTTCCAGACTGGCTGGAACCAATTCCCAGGCAGTTTCCCAATACTTTAACTGTTCTTTATGAACCTAAAGAGTGAAGCATCAGCAGCATAATTTACAATAGAGCCATACATAGTTCAACCTGATCCCATGTTTCCAGAGCAGATATGTATATTTTCTATCTGGAACGAATGACAATCAGAAATGCAATTTTGTCGAATTACAAAGTAGCTTAGGAATATAGTTTAGGAGAATAGAGGATAATTATTGCCTGCTAATGTTGTTTTGGCTCAGAAAAACTAATTCAGCGCAAGCCAAGGACAACCAGTTTTTATGTCTCAGTAATACAGCAATAAGTGCTAATCCTGAATCTGTTGACGGCTAGCTTCATGGGTTAATTTAGGAACTATTGCACTATTGGTTATTTAAAAAAAAGCACTTTAAGATTTTATTAACTTTTGTTTCTTATCCACATTGCAGGAAGTAACAAACAAACTCCTATCTGATTATGATATATTTGATGAATTCTACTACAATCTCTCTGATAGTGATTTTGAAGCTAAGTAAGTGCTATACATTATGAAGGTATTGTGAACAACAAATTCTTAAAAATTATAAAATGTTCTATTGGGCACCTGCTGAGTGTGGAACTTCAATAACATGTACTGTAAAGTACAGGTTTTAATTCTTCACAAAAAGAGGAGGTGGTGGCCGAATGGTTTGTGTGTTTTGAGTTTAAGAATGATGTCCCCTTAAGAAGTTCAACATGCATGTAAACCAGGTATCGGGATGTGATCACATGACCGGATGCCATGATGACACCCTAGACTGTGCATAGAGATTACTTTGTATTGTCTATACTAGTTTAACTGCAAATGAACTCATCAGCAATCTTCAAGTAATCAGAATCCACCTAACTAATGTGAGTTATATTTAGGCAATACAAAAACATTATGACAGGGTGTCAGGAGTGGTATATTACAGTGGGGTGTACAGTGGTGATTGTTCTTAAAATAATCCTATAAAGGTCAGTATCCCATCACCAAGTCACCCTTTATTTACATGTGCATAGTACATGACACTGACCCAGCTAGCTCAGAGCCAGCTCCTAGAGTGAACAGAAACCCTGACATTCCTGTTTATATCTGTCAGCCTGGATTCCCTGTTTGGACCAGATGAACATATTCTATGATGTCCACCTTGCTGACCTCATTCCAATCGCTACATCTCTCCCTCTCTTCCGGGGCGTTTTCACACCAGCTGTGGTTCCTCTGACTGTGCCTCAGGTACTGCTGTACTGGACTGTAGCCCACCTCTTGCACCTGGAGCATCGAGGCCGAAATTCTTCATCTTCAGGTGGTACTGGCATCGAGGCTGTGACATCTGCCATGTCCATCTCACACTCAGAGGATTCTTCAATGCTAGGCTAACCCATCGGTTCTGACAGCCTTGACAGATGTTCTCAGAGTCCGGGCAGGTTTTGCTCCTGCCCCATTTGTGAGATTGCAGCTATCATGTGGTCTACCTGCTTGTTCAGGACCACCTCTCCTACCTAACTTTGTACGACACAGGATCTGACCTCCTGTCGACTATGCCTCTTACCCATACAGGGCCTTTCCTCTGGTTTCAACACCAAACTTTGTCCCCTGAAGTAAACTGCCTCTCTTGCTTAGAGGAGTGTTGTGTCCAGTATTGGCATTCCTGATGCCGTTTCATCCTCCCCCTGCAAGGTTCGGGAAGATTGGGTTTAACCTGGTACAGAGTCTTTTCCCCATGACCAACCCTGCTGGAGCTGTCACTATAGTTGCGTGAGAGGTGGTCCTATAATAAAACATGAACTGGAACTGAGATAACAAGGTGTAGAGCTGGATGAACACAGCAGGCCAAGCAGCATCATAGGAGCAGGAAGGCTGACGTTTCGGGCCTAGACCTTTCATCAGAAATGGGGGAGGGGAACGGGGTTCTGAAATAAATAGGGAGAGAGGAGGAGGCGGAGATAGAGGAGAAGATAGGTGGAGAGGAAACAGACAGGTCAAAGAGGTGGGGATGGAGCCAGTAAAGGTGAGTGTAGGTGGGGAGGTAGGGAGGAGATAGGTCAGCCCAGAGAGGACGGACAGGTCAAGGGGGCGGGATGAGGTTAGTCGGTGGGAGATGGGGGTGCAGCTTGAGGTGGGAGGAGGGGATAGGTGGGAGGAAGAACAGGTTAGGGAGGCGGGGACAAGCCGGGCTGGTTTTGGGATGCGGTAGGGGGAGGGGAGATTTTGAAGCTTGTGAAATCCACATTGATACCATTGGGCTGCAGGGTTCCCAAGCGGAATATGAGTTGCTGTTCCTGCAACCTTCAGGTGGCATCGTTGTGGCACTGCAGGAGGCCCAGGATGGACATGTCATCTGGGGAATAGGAGGGGGAGTTGAAATGGTTCGCGACTGGGAGGTGCAGTTGTTTATTGCGAACCGAGCTTAGGTGTTCTGCAAAGTGGCCTCTAAGCTTCCGTTTGGTTTCCCCGATGTAGAGGAGGCCACAACGGGTACAGCGGATGCAGTATACCACATTAGCAGATGTGCAGGTGAACATCTGCTTGTTGTGGAAAGTCTTCTTGGGGCCTGGGATGGGGGTGAGGGAGGAGATGTGGGGGCAGGTGTAGCACTTCCTGCGGTTGCAGGGACAAGTGCCGGGTGTGGTGGGGCTGGAGGGGAGTGTGGAGCGGACAAGTGGCCCCAAGAAGACTTTCCACAACAAGCAGATGTTTACCTGCACATCTGCTAATGTGGTATACTGCATCCGCTGTACCCGTTGTGGCCTCCTCTACATCGGGGAAACCAAGCGGAAGCTTGGGGACCGCTTTGCAGAACACCTACGCTCGGTTCGCAATAAACAACTGCACCTCCCAGTCACGAACCATTTCAACTCCCCCTCCCATTCCTCAGATGACATGTCCATCCTGGGCCTCCTGCAGTGCCACAACGATGCCTCCTGAAGGTTGCAGGAACAGCAACTCATATTCCGCTTGGGAACCCTGCAGCCCAATCGTATCAATGTGGATTTCACAAGCTTCATAATCTCCCCTCCCCCTACCACATCCCAAAACCATTCCAGCTCGTCCCCGCCTCCCTAACCTGTTCTTCCTCCCACCTATCCCCTCCTCCCACCTCAAGCCGCATCCCCATTTCCTACCTACTAACTTCATCCCGCCCCCTTGACCTGTCCGTCCTCCCTGGACTGACCTATCTCCTCCCTAACTCCCCACCTACACTCACCTTTACTGGCTCCATCCCCACCTCTTTGACCTGTCTGTTTCCTCTCCACCTATCTTCTCCTCTATCCATCTTCTATCCGCCTCCCCCTCTCTCCCTATTTATTTCAGAACCCCCTTCTCCTCCCCCATTTCTGATGAAGGGTCTAGGCCCGAAACATCAGCCTTCCTGCTCCTATGATGCTGCTTGGCCTGCTGTGTTCATCCAGCTCTACACCTTGTTATCTCAGATTCTCCAGCATCTGCAGTTCCTACTATCTCATGAACTGGAACTGTTTGATATCAAATGAAGCTGTGGTTGTTTCTTTAAGCCTGTCTTCAAAGTTTGGACTACTCTTTCTGCCAGACCACTGCACGATGGATGGTAAAGAGCCGTCCTTACATGTCAAATGCCATTCAACTTTAGGAAATACTCAAGCTCCTTGCTGGAAATAATGGCCCATTATCTGTGACCAACAACTCTAGGAGACCATGCAGATGATAATGACACCTAAAAATTCCCTTCCAATCCACACACCATCCTGTCTGTCATTGTTCCTTTACTGTTTCTGAGCCAAATCCTGGAACTCCCTCCCTAACAGCATGTGTGTACCTACACCACAGAGAGTGAAGCAGTTCAAGGAGGCAGCTCACCATGACCCTCCTGTAATTAGGGATTCTGTCTTGACCAGCAATACCAAAATCCTGCAACTGGATAATAAGGAAATAACTAAAGTGGTATGACATAGATTGATACCCACTCCCTGTTGTCCATGTGTCTCAGTGGGTAATCCACCATAATATTTCTCTTTCTGAATGACTCAACTGTAGAAATCATAGAATTGTAAAAACAAGTCATTATCTGACTTTCTTAGCCCTAGGCCATGAGAAGAAATATTAGTATTATTGAAGTGGAGGTCATTTGTCCCAAAGCAATTCTCATGTTTTATAGGCAACAGTTCCTCCACAACAGGAGCTTTTATTTATTTGTTACGCATTTTAAACAAGTGAAATGTAATCTGACAGCTGTCAGTGTTGAGCAGAATGCTACTACACCCAAGGTCAAATTTGACACACAAGTAAAAGTTTAGTATGCTAGCCTTTGCTAGACCAAAAGGAAGGGCAACATCAGTACAGTGCAACAGGAGGGCAGAAAACTGAGGAAGAAAAGCTACTTGCACTACTTGGACAGCATCTTGCCCTGCCAAACAGCATACCGTCATGGAGAGAAATCAGAGTTAACGTTTCGGGTCGAGTTATCCTTCCTCGGAACAGATGCTGCCAGACCTGCTGAGCTTTTCCAGCAATTTCTGTTTTTGCTTCTGATTTACGGCGTCTGCAATTCTTTCGGTTTTTGTTTATCATACAGTCGTATGTGCATACAAAGATATAGAAATCACTATAAAGTTAAATATATTGCTTTAAAATCCTGGTGAGAAAGCAGAGTTAGGGCTCCAATCACATGAAGGGGGATACTGGGATAAAGTTTTAATTGTAGCATTCAACTGGATTTAAGGGTCAAGAATTTCTTCATGTTTGGCAATTGTTTTAATTCAGATAGGTACAGAAGGAGTGAGAAATCAGTCAAGGATTCAGAATAGAAAATCTCAGAAAGGCCTTTGACAAGATCCCACATGGAAGGCAAAATGAATATATGCACATTGTTTTTGGCATGTCCCTCACAGCTCGGCTTAAGGTTGAGTGTGAATGAAGAAACATTTTGAGTGTGAAGGATATTATGTTACTTTCTGGACACTTCAGATTACGAGGGCAAAGTGGGAAGAATCATTTCTGACTCCTTCCTTGATGATCAAATGAGTTTATTAAACCTCTTCATGTGCTTAAAATATAGGTGGAGCTGCATAATCCCTTGATATCAAAGATTACCTATAATTTTAACTCATTTTAGTGTCTGAAAAATTGGGGTAGGGAGTCCACACATTAATATAACAAGTCAATCATTCATCTTTTCCTCGCAGCACTTGAATTTCTTGAAACAAAATAGTGACTGGCCTTCATCTTCAAGTTGTTGTAACTACAAATATTGCAGAGATTTCCCTTCACCTCCTGAGGAGAGAGAGAGACTTTCAATAGAGGGTACACATTTCACTGGGAGCGTACTCATACTATTAAAAAATAACTGAGGGAATTAGGCTGGAGGTCATATCAGCAGGTGAAAATATAGTCCTGACAGCAATAGTAATGCCATAGAGAAAAATTCAGGCCTAAGTGAGGGATCAGATTAAAAACATCATGGCTTGGATTTCATGTTTTCAGCAGCACTCGCTGAATGTTCTTCATAAGGATCATGAGAGGGTAATAGCACATTTACAGGGGAGACCTGATTAAAGTGATGGTTGGGAGATATTTGGCATGGAATAAGCACATATGCCACTAGTCATATTGGACTCTTCCCTAGCTGTTTTATACTTTTCTGATTTCTAACTTCATATGTTTTATTTTAATAACACTTCATTATGAGTATTAATAATTGTACACTTTTCCACCATATTAGTTTAGCAAAAGAAGCTGCACTATTTTGCACTGCATGTATAAAAAATAACAATGCTTATGCACTGAATGAGTATCATAGCACATTTTTAAAGGGAAAAACATATTCAAATATTTAAAAAGTGGCACAGAAATTTTAGTTACTGTAACATTTGAATTATAGTTATTTATTGCCATTAATTTATCTGTGGCATCATGTCTCACAATTTATTTAATATTTGAATTTTTTTGCGCATTTCATTGTTTAAGACAATTATTCTGTTTGTTTGCAGATGGAGTGCGATTGCTGCACCTCATTTAATCACTGCACGAATGGAGCTAATAAAAATCCAACACATGGAGGAGGAAGAGCTTTTCCGTAAAATACAGTTATCAGACCAAAGCACTTTGCAGGAGAGGATTGAAGGATTAGAGGTATTCCACTGTGGCAGAGAAGAGATAAAATGTGTTGAGTATCTTTGGCTCCTATGACCTGGACACCAAAGGCCAAAGTTAGGGATAGGACACAAGCTTTTCACAACCTATTTGACCCTGAACTGATCTTCCAATCCCACATCTTCTCCATGGAAGGCCAACTACTTTCTTCATACCATTGCCTATTTCTGCCTTGTCTCATTTCACAAGCTTCTGATACCTTCATACTTGGGTATTTCAAAACTATCTTGACCAACCTCCCATCTTCTGCACTCCATGAACTTAAACTTATCCAAAACTCTGCTGCCCATCTACACTTCTCCAGCCCTCTCCTTAATACCAGCCACTGCGATCAAACTTTTAGTAACCAATCCTAATTGTGCAATTATCATCTGTGAAGTACCTTGGGCTGTTTTACTATGTATCAGGGCCTTGTAAGTGCCAACTGTTGGCTGCATAGATTGGACTGCGCATAGACAAATGGGGTACACACATCTGTAACTGTTCCTACCATTAGGGATTAATGCTCAGCATACTGTATCAGTCCAGAGGTTGATCTCATTAGATAGCTAACGCTTCCATACAACTTTTACATTTTAGATGGTGGTAGCTGGATTTTCTGCTTATACTGATATGAATCGTGCGCATGAAATCGCTAATGAGGTGAGGCGAATCCACAAACAATTGGTGGAGTCACAGCATCTAGCACAACTCTATAATAGTAGAGAACGGCTCTTCGAAATGCCAGTCACAAATGTGAGTATAGTTTAATCAAACACTAGAGTAAGTATAATGGATATGATATGAGCTCACATTTGGGGGAGCACTTGATAGTGTCCCATAGTGATCTGAGCTACAGTCTCAACTATGCACAATATTTAGTAATGCCTTATATAGAAAACCAAATATGTAAGTTTACTGACTAGACTGATTGGGGTGGCGTGTGAGTAGGGTGGATGGGAGCATACAATTACAAAAAGACATTGATAGATTTGTCATGATCACAGACTTGACCACCAACTTCATGTTATGATCATGGATAAAATCATTCAAATTATGTTATGTTGATCTGGTTAGGGATCAGTAATCTCTATTTTTACAAGCAGAAAAAGATGAGATCCAGGGGAGTTACGAAAGGAATAAAGCCACAAGAACCACAATCTGAATAAATAACAATGATATATTGTACAAGTTAGAACAGTAATATGATTTGCAATAAATGTACAACTTATTTCTAACTCTTAGACTTAACGTGTGGAATGCAATGATCGAGCACGCCACACACAGGTCAAATAATAAATGCTACCAAGGTAGATCCCATAGATTTTGTAGTCACATCTCTCCACATATCAATGATATATTAATTAAAACTACCTCTGATTAATTGTCTGAATGACTGCTTCTATCCTAGTTGATTGCCTTCCTGACTTCGGTTCCCTTGACTTCAAAAATTGTACTCCAATACTTATTCACAGTACTCATGTAATCGCTGATTTTGAATATGTGCAGCAGGTTACAGATGCAAGTATCTTGAAACTTCCTTCTTTACAAAAGATTAATATTTTTCGTACTTCTAGCAGATCTGTGGAGAGAAATCAGAATTAACGTTTCGGGTCAAATGACCCTTCCTTAGCATCCTTCACTTGACACAAAACTTTCACTCTGATTTCTCCCCACAGATGCTGAGGTTTTCCAGCAACTTCTATTTTTGTTTCTGATTCACAGCATCCGCCTGAATCAATAGTTTGCCTTTATAATGGAAGCATTTACCAGAAGAAAGAAGGTATGCTTAATTTGACTTTTGTTATCTTTTGTAAACAGTATGAAAGACTTTACAAAATGGTAAAGGAATTCCATCCCTATCGGGATCTATGGACAACTACATCAGACTGGTTACGTTGGTATGACAGCTGGATGAATGATCCACTGACTACCATTGATGCAGAACAAATTGAGAAGAACGTAATTGAGTCCTACAAAACTCTGCACAGGTGCACCAAATATTTTAAGGATATTCCAGGTAAATCATTGTTTCAATTTCCTTTATTGCATACAAATTAATTCTGATGATTCAATTAATTTTTATTGAAAAAATTGATTTTCCAAAAATTAAATTGAGTATTGCTAAAAAAGACACATTTTGTTGAAGCTTTTCAACTGACACTCATCAGGCCAATGCTCAAGCTACCTTAAATCAGAAAGATCTAAGGTAATTATGAAAAAGGACAAAGATGGATCAAAAATAAAAGTTCTCAACTGAGGGAAAGCTAATTTTAAATGATAAGACAAGATCCGGCCAAAGTGGACTGGGAGCAGGTACTTGCAGGAAAATCCTTATCAGAGGAATGAGAGACATTCAAAAGGGTAATAAATGAGAGTGCAAAGCGAACTTATTTCCATAAAGGTGAAAGGTAGGACCAACAAGTCCTGAGAACCTTGGATGTCAGGGGACGTGCAGGATTGGATAAGAAACAAATGGAAGCTTGTGGAGGATGCTCAAGGATAAAAGCAGAGATGCCCTAGAGGATCATAGAAAGTGCAGGGAGTTGCTTTAAAAAGAAATTAGGAGAGCAAAGAGGGGACTTTAGAAAACAATGGCAGGATACCATTAAGGAAAATCCAAAGGCATTTTTTAAGTATACTTGGGGCAAGGAAGTAGCCAGGGAATAAGTAAGGCCCATTCGGAACCAAAGTAGCAATCTGTGTGTGGAGCTGGAAGATGTGGATGAGATTTTAAATGACTACTTTGCATCTGTATTCACTGTAGAGAAGAATGATGTAGGTACAGAAATCAAGGAGTGGGACTGTGATATACTTGAATGAATTGGCAGTGATATAGAGGAGGCATTATTAGTTTTAGCTGACTTGAAAGTAGAGAAATCTCCAGACTCAGACATGATATGAGATGTATCCTCGGCTGTTCTGGAAGGCAAGAGAGGAGATTGCAGAGGTTCTGACATTAATTTTTAAATCTTCTCTGGCTACAAGGGGTGCCAGAGGATTAGAAGACAGCAAATGTGGTACCATTATTCAAGAACAGTGGTAGGGATAAACCTGGAAACTACAGACGATTGAGTCTAATATCTGTGGTAGAAAAACTATTAGAAAACATTTTGAGGAATACAATTAATCTTCATCTGGAGAGGAAAGGATTGCTCAAGAATAGTCATTATGGCTTTGTGAGGGGGAGATCATGTTGAACAAATTTGATTGAATTTTTTGAGGAGGTGACTAGGTAGATGAGGGTAGTGCAGTTGGTGTAGTCTACATGGACTTCAGTAAGGTTTTTGACAAGGTCTTGCATAGAAAACTGGTTAAGAAACTAAGAGATTCTCATGGCAATTTGGTAAATTGAATCCAAAATTGGCTTAGTTGCAGGAAGCAGAAGGTGATGTTTAAAGGTATTTTGTGACTAGAAACCTGTGTTTGGTGGTGTACCCACAGGGTTCATTGTTGGATTCCACGTTGTTTGTTGTGTACATTAATGATATAGACATGAATATAGGAGGTATGATCAGTAAATTCACAGATGACACAAAAATTAGTGATGTGGTGAATGTCAAGCTCAAAAGCCTTAGATTGCAGAGTGGTATAAACAGCCTGCTCAAATGAGCTGAACAGTGGCAAATGGAATGTAAAGCCAAAAAACTGAGGTGATGCATTTTGAGAGGAGTAACAAGTCATGAGCACAAATTAAAAGGTAGAACCCTAGGCAGTGCATGTTCATAGATCCTTGAAGGCAGCAGGACAGGTAGATAAAGTGGCTAAGAAGAATCATGGAATATTTTATTATTCAAAGCACTGACCACAAAAAGGAGGTTATTTTGGAGCTGTATATAAAGTTAGTTAGGCTACAGCTGGAATACCGTGTGCAAGTCTGGTCACCACACTATAGGAAGATTGCAAGAGGGGGCAGAAAAGGTTCACTAGGATATTGTCCGGACTGGAATGATTCAGCTATGCAGAGAGACTAGATAGGCTGGGATTGTTTCCCTTAGAGCTAAAAAGATGGAGGAGCAAACTGATTGAAGTTCTGAGAGGCATAGACAAGCTAGATGGGGAGAAACGTTTCCCCTTTGTAGAGGAGTCCGTAACCATAGAGAACAGATTTATAGCAGGAGGAAGGAAGGAGGTTTAGAGGGTATTTGAGGAAAAAACGTTCACCCAGAAGTTTGTCGGTATCTGGATCTTCATACTGCCTAAAACAACAATAAAAGTAGACAAGACATTTAAGAATATTTGAAATACCATAGCATACAAGACTACAGACGAAATGCTGGAAAGTATGATTAGAAAAGATGGATATTTGATGACTGGTGTGGACACAGGGCTGAAGCCTTCTTTCCATGCATAAAAACTCTATGACTCCACCTAATAATTATTTTTAAAAGAGCTGGCTGAAGTAGCTGATGGTGAAATGTCAATGGCTGTTATTTGTATGGACTTCCAGAAATCATTTCACAAAGTCCCTCATAAGATTCTTTTGACCAAAGTTGAAATTATTATCGATTTGCTTAAGAAATTGATTGACTGACAGGAGACAGACAATATCGGTAACGGTCAGGTTCTCCAGATTGCAGGATATGACTAGTTGTCTTCCGTTAGTGTATGTATCTGGTGCCACATAATTCATGATTAATATTACTGACTTAGATGATCAGATAGGAAGCTACTTACACACGACAGAAAAATAAATGGTATTATTAGCAGTAAGGGCTGAAGCACAAAATTACAAAGAGATATAAATGCATTGCAAAGTGTGCCAATTGGATATCAGTGTACAGAAATATGCCTATATCCCCATTGGATTAAACAGGACACTTTTTCGATCATAAAAGATAGAAATAGTGGAAATGCAAAGAAACCTGTCAGTCTAGATCCATAGAACATTAAAATGTCACGAGGAAGTACAGAAAATAATCAAAAAGACTAATACAATGGTAGACTTTAGAGCTCTAGAACAAAAGGAGTAGAAATCATACTTCAGGTATACAAAGCCATGTGTAGATGACATCTGGAGTATCATGAACATACTCAGCATCACATCTTGGGAATTATATATTGTCCTTGCAGGGAATGCAGCTTAGATTTATTGATATTTGTATTACAACAGAATTAAATTACAAGGAGTGTTCACACAAGCTAGATTATATTTCCCAGCATGTTCACGAAGGGTTGATTTGATTGAAGTTTTTAAACTAATAACATTTCTGTGTGGTTCTGGTGTCACATGTGTGCCTGACCAGGGAAGATCAACAGATTTCCTTCCCTTTAGGACGTTAGTGAACCAGATAGAATTTTCTGACAATTAACAGTGGTTACATGGTTGCTGTTTGGCTAACTTTTCATTGCAAATTTTTATTGAATTCATATTTCACCAACTGCCATATGGCATACAATACCATGTTCCAAGAGCATTAACCTGCAGCCCCTCTGCTCCACCTCATCCGTCCCCACCTGCTGTGGATCTCCTGCGTCATCACTGCATCATGAAAGTACCAATGGCTGAAAACTCTACATTAGGAGGCTGTTCCACATCCACTGCAGGTTGGTGCTGGTCCTGATTTCCAGATGGACGTGTTTCTCATCCATTCTTAGATCTGCTCTTTGTGCAGCGGCCAAAGAAACTATCATAACTTCTGTGCCTCGATCCATTGGAGACCGTTCCAATGAGTTTGTGTGGCCAATATCAGAAGCAGTTTCTCAGGAATGTGACCATTTAGCTATCATGTCACACACACAAATAACATTTGAACAGCATCTTCAAAACATTGGGACATGAAGGCTTCCAACAATCAGGGCAATGGGATTCCTCTACAAGGACCTTTAAGTTCCTCATTCACATTAGTTACTTGGTTTACAATTTTTACTCTGCTTTTAGTGTCTTCTAGTTTGAAGACAAATAAAAATATTTATTCAACATCTCTGCCATCACCTTATTCTTTACTATAATTTCTCCTTTCTCAGGCCATAAGGGATGAATGTTTGCATTTGTTAGTCTACACTTTTTGGCATACTTGCACAAGTTCTTACACTTTGTTTTTATGTTTCTTCCTGGGTTACTAGTAATTTTAAATAGCAATGAATTCTAGCAATTTTTTGATTATCCTTTGCTAGTTTCTGAAACTTTCCCAATCTTTGCTATTTTTCATAATATTAAAAAGTTTCTTCTTTTAATCTCATACTTTAAATGTTCTTGTGGAGTTTTTGTTACTTAGTGAAATTCATTTTTGTTCAGAATTTTGAGCTATTTATTTACATGACTGTCACCACTTAATCTATTGTTCTACATTTTAATCTGTTTTCTCAATCCACCTAGGCCATCTGGGCCCCATACTTATGTAAAATCTTGTTTCAAACTAAATATGTAACTATCAAACTTAATTTAAATGTGGTCATATTATAATAAAATCCTTTACTATGAAATTATCATATCTTTTTACATGAAACTAGATCCGAAATAGTCTAATGCCGATTGACTCCATGGCATATTGTTCTATGAAATTGCCTTGAATGTATTCCATGAACTCATCCTCCAGACTGGCTTTGCCTATTGGATTTATTTAATCTATATGAAAATTAATGTCACTCACAGTTATTGCATTATCTTTATAAATGTCTTGCTTTTTCTTAGTTAGAACTCTGTCCAGAGGTATAGATTATTTTGGTGGGCAGTAAACTACTCTACCATTGGTTTCTGTCCTTTGTTATTTCTCAGCAACAACACTGGCATCTACCTGACTATGGAAAATTGCCCAGGTATCTCCTGTACATGAAAAAGCAGGACAAATCCAACCCAGCCAATTACCACCCCATCAGTCTATGCTCGATCATCAGTAAAGTGATGGAAGGTGTCATCAACAGTGCTATCAAGCAGCACCTGCTCAGCAATAACTTGCTCAATGATGCTCAGTTTGGATTCCACCAGGGCCACTCAGCTCCTGACCTCATTACAGCCTTGGTTCAAATATGGACAAAAGAGATGAATTCCATATGTAAGGTGAGAGTGACTGGCCTTGA